TGTTTATTGTAAACATTTCCCACAGACTAAACCCAACAGGTAGCAGCAAGCAGTCCTGCTCCCCTGCATTTTCTGCTGTAACATGACAACAAAGGAGCATGCTCAAGAACCACTATATGGAATGAGGTTCAATGTTACCTTGTGGACATTCTATGTCTGCAGTTGAAGATTCATGCCAAATATACTTCTCAGCTCTGAGTACCTGCCAAGTGGATTCTTAAAAATGGGAAAACAAAGAGCACTAGCAGAATTTTTCTCAGCATATGGGATGAAACCAATCTCTGTTACTATAAATTACAAAGCAAGACCAGAGCTAGTATCAGGGATTTTTTTTTAATAGTCACTTCTTCTTGCAGTTTTTAAGAAGCACTCTCAAACCTTTAAAGTTTTTGAATCTAAATTCCTGGTTACAACACTAAATATGAGGGATTTTTTTTTCTGGTATCCACCAGTTCTCAGAGGCACTACCTTCTGTAGTGACATTTACAGATGCCAGTCCCACAGTCTGTCCTATGCAGACAAACACCCACACCTTGAGTCCTCAGTGGACCCACGTGGCTGGCAAGTCAGAGAGTCAGAAATGCAGCAACAAACAGCAGTAACAAAAGCACAATACATGCTGCAACACGTAGAGTGGAGCTGTAAGTCACTACAAAACACCAGCCTCCACTGTGTGTGTAAAAAAAAGTTCTGAAAGAGGCACAGATTTGAGATGAAATGTGATGTTTGCAATCCTAATAGAAATCAGTATTTTAACTCTGTACTGTACAAGGTCTAGCAACCTTATTTCAACATTGTTTTTAAACAAAGATATCTAATCCATAAAATGGTATCCACAACTTTGTCTTGTAGAAAGGTACAGTGAAAAATTGCTCTTTCTTTCCTTTTGAAGACATAATCCACCTAGAAGGATTAATAAGTAAAAATATGGGAACTAGTAACCATTCCAGTTTTTCCTTTAACATACTAAAATTTCTAGTTGGGTTTGGTTCTGAAAGCTTCTAAACAAATTATGTAAATTACCTATCCTAAGTACTTGGTTCACAACAACAACAAAAGGAGTTAATGATTATGTTACTTTTAGTCTTCTAAAGTTATGCTAATGAAAACACTAATCAAAAATTGCAGTCACATTTTCAGTCCTTGCCTGTTGTAGGTGGATTGCATGGAGTAATAAGATTTATAGCTTCATCATGACACAACATATATAAGGCTGAACTCACTCAGTTGCTAATGAAATGTGATTTGGGGACTCTTGCACCAGCTGGGTGATGATTAGGGCTTATCACAGATAGGTCTAGGAAAAGGCTGGGAAATACTTAAGCTTGTTTTGAAGTTGCTTTGAGCTCTTAGGAAAGGAGCAATTTCTCTACAACATCAGCCTGAGGTTTTCTGCCCATACAAGAGAGGTAATGATAATGTTTTTAACTGATTTGCAAGTAGTAGGATTATATGAAGTCTGGCAAAATCCTATCAAATCTTTCTGGCTTAGTGCCTTTTAAGTTGTGAGATGGGTACTTTGTCTTCTCAGACAGCTCAAAAAAATGTTAATTAAGCAACTGGCTTCAGAGAAACCTTGCAAAACTTGCTCTATATGATGCCTCTTGACTTGAAATTCTGCTTTTAATAGTTGCCTGCTGGCACAACAAGCAACTCTGCATAAGTTTCCCACAGCACAAAGAGCATCCTAAATGTAGTTTCTGATGATGGGAATGGCTCCATATAAACTATAAACAGCTGGGTCACTCAAACATCTAAGTTACTGAATATTTTTTAAAATAAATATTTTAAGAAGATAGCTCCTACCCTCATAAAAATTAATACTTTAAAAGCAGAGGAAGTTCAAATTGAAACTCTGACTTCTAGAATATCTTCTCTATATGTGATATCAGCTAGGGTAAAAAAGGAGGGAAAAATCTATGTGAGTTGTAGAATACCTGTCTCCTTAACATAGACTGTAGCTCAGCTGCAGAGCAGAATTCTGTTTAAAGCCCTTCTGACTTCAGAGGGCTACACACTTCCTACTCCTTTCCTTGGTAAGGGTGGTCTCCAGCTCCTCTCAAAAGAGAACTGCTGCCTGTCAACTGAAAACTACATAATAACTTTTTTAAATAAGTAGTTTTCATGAACTGTGAGATTGCAAATTGGGTGATTAAATGATTGAGAGGTTTTTCAGAGTGGATTGGAGAAACAAAACATCAAATAGAGCACAGTAGAAAAAGCTTCCCCCTGTTTTTATTTGAAGTAATTTTTATTATAAAATACACACAAATTTGATTATTTTGTAGCCTAAAAGAAAGATTTCTTGAGGGGGTTGGTTTTTTTCCATGAATGTCTCTTATTCAGGTCAAGTTCAGTCATTTTTGTAAAGGAAAGCCATTTCCTTTTCTATTGAACCAAAGGCTTGCATATTTAAAATTTCCCTGCAAATGGACAGTGGGTCCTATCGATTTGTTTTTGAAAAAAGCTGCTCACTTGTATCCCAGATTGTGTTCATGATATTGAAAGTATGTATTTAGGTATGGCAGGGGGCAAGGTTAGGCTCTGTTGTATGAGTGTGGTGGGGTTTCCTGGAGATGGTGGAGTTTCTGTGTGTTTAGTTGGTATTTTTTCCCATGACTATTTTACATGGTTGTAAGACTGTACCTGACAAGCTTTCAACATCAAAGTGCTAAGAAACTCTTCAGAGTAGTGCTTGCTTTAGAGATGCAAGTACACAGAGCCAGCCTGAGCTAAGGAGTCATCCAGAGAGTTGCTAGGTCAGCAAAACTCCTGCTTACAGTTCAGGTCCTACTTCTTCCCTAGTGATGTTACCTACTCATCACACTCCCTTTGAAATAATTTCATTCTGTATTTGACTTAGGGTAAGAAAAAGGAGTCAGGAGAGCTGTACCTAATACAAGTCCTTTAAGTGCCAGCATTCTGCTGACATACTAGCCAAGAACTAGATGAAGAAACAGTTTTGTTCTTTTTGTTTAATACTGCCACAATCCAACTGGAGGTCATATGACACAAACCCACATAGAGGGCACCCTGCCCTTTCTGAGATGCATCCCAGACCAATGCATGTGAGCAGTAACATCCCAATACAGATGCTGGGGCTGCCCCTGGTGCTCCTCAGCAGGGCTGGGCTGGGTTACAGAATTCCATGGCTGCTTTCCTTTGGGTCTGTACTGGAGTCTACAGTGCCACCATTCTGTGGACTCTGCCCAGTGTGGAAGGACAGGGCTCAGTGCTCTCCAGAGCACTTCCCTGAGGAAACTCAAAGCCATGCTACTCTTCTCTGGAACTGCCTGAGGACACTGTCTATCCTTTCCTTACTGCTAACTATAAAGCACTGCACAGAAAATAAATTCAAAATTAGGCCAGAAAGAGGAAGAAACAGAAACATAAATTATCGTATTTTTCTGTGGATTAAATAGGTTAAGCCCATTTTGAGGATGAGGGCAAAGGAGAAGTGAAAGAGTAACACAAAAGTAATAATAACAACAAAAAGAACAACATTTTAAGTGCTTATTCATGAAGGCTTTTGTCAAAAAGCACAGAAATGCTTCTCTTAGTCTGAGGAAGATTGCCAAGGAACAGACTGATGTTGCCAAAGCTTCACTCCTTACTGCTGTTAACTTTAACTCTCTTGGAACAGAAGAATTTAGGTTAGGAGGAGGATCTGGAGGCCACTTGGTCCCTTCCTCATGGCAAAATTACTCTCAAAGCCAAGTCAGTCTGCTTGTCCTGATGGAGTACAGAGACTCAACCTCTTTCCTGGGCAGCCCATTCCAGTGTTCCCTCACTTTTCCTGTAGGAAATGTAGGTCAACGTGGTGCTATCACCTTCAGGCTTTCTAGACTCAGACCAGCAGGTTTCCATTGTCTTTGCTTTCCATAACGTGTTCCCTGTGAAGTGCAAGTTTAATCACAGCCCAAGTACTAGTCTAGTGCAAGTGGTTGCATTTGTTTAACTAGGATTTCTGATAAAGGTTCCCTGGAAGCTCTGATAGCAATATGCAGTTACCTGGGCTGCAGCTTTACCACCCTCTGCAGTGGGTGCCAGGGCTGGATGTATTTTGCCATAATGTGCCATCCTCCACCCTCCCAGCTCCTAACCCAGCGGCTACACCAGCACTCTGGCTGTGCATTGCATGGCTCCCTGCAAAACCAGCTGGTAGAGGCAGCAGTGTCAAACACTACTGTAGGATTTTAACATGCCTCAAAGAAGGGAATTGGCATTTGGCTTTGTTGAAACACATCTTAATTTTTTTCTTCTCTCTCCTTACAAATAAGAAACCATTACGACAGTTGGACTGATTAAAATCAGTTGCATTCTCCTTAATGAGATTAGGAATATGGCCAGAAGTCCTACTTCTAGATGAGAAGAGCACTAAGGGATAAAATGTGCTGACTACCCTGTGCTGAGGGCCAGATAACTTGGAGCATCCTGTGCCCCAGCTTTGCAAAATCTTTTCAAAAGAAAAAAATATCACAAGGAGCATGTGAACAGGTGCTCAAATACCTGCTGTGGCTTTGCCACTAACGCAGATACAGTTTCAACTAAGATTTCTTGTCCTGAGCTTTATTTTTGAAGGCTTTACTTTCACTTCTGCTCTGGCTGGCTGTGAATACAAACAGGCAGACCTAGACATGCAATTTAAATGTGCTGTCTTCTGGGAGGATTATGAACTTTCTGTAACACATTTTTCTAGATATCTTCTTTTTACACATTTTTTTACACAAAGATGATTTTTACACAAGGGGACATAAATATTTCAGCGGTAAGCATTTTATTTTAAGATTAGATAATTTCTGATACCTATCAATATCTTCCCTATCCCCAATGCAGGTTAAGGATTTTATATTCCTCTGTTCAGTGAAGACTTGCCAAAGTGCAGCACAGCAAATGACATGTTTTATGCCTGGCTGTGAGGGCTACGAAGGGTTTGCTGCAGCTCACCTCCCTTCTCTTTGTTGTACAGCATTTCTCCACTGGCAGTGGCTCAGCTCCTGATGGAGGAGCACAGCACTCCCAGCGAGGTGCCGGCAGCCCTGAAGCGCCTGGCCAAGTGCACAGTGCGGGGTTTCTATGGTGTGGAGTGCTCCCTGGCCCTGGACGTGCTGATCCGCTACCCCTGTGTGAAGGAGGAGGACCTGTTACAGCTGCTCAAGTACGAGCGCAAGCAGCTGCGCACGGCCCTCAACGCGCTCAGGGCGGACAAGCTGGTGAAGCTGTGGGTGCGAGCTGAAACGGGGCCCAACGGCAAGAGCACCAGGCACAACTACTACTACATCAACTACAAGGTGCTGGTGGATGTGGTAAAATACAAACTGGATCATGTACGCCGCAAAATAGAAGCAGAAGAGCGGGATTCAACGACCAGATCCTCTTTTAAATGTCCATCTTGCTCTAGCACGTACACAGACCTTGAAGTCAATCAGCTCTTTGATGCATTTACAGGTGTGTTACTTATATTGCTTATTTGCTGTTATCTTAAAGAATAACCCTGATAGCACAAAACTGTTTCCTAAGTGAACTTTGCAATAAAAGCACATTTGTTAGAATGTGCTTCTTGTTTGCTGGTGGATGAGGGCCTGAAACAGGGGATGCTGGGAGGTGAGGGAAAGAGAAATACTGCCTCTGTAGAACATGCCAAAAAAAGGAAGAATAATCTTGAATATACGAGCTGGGGTTGAGAATCAGATTCCAGGCCTCAGCTTTGCTTTGAACCTGGTTGAGTAATCTTAACTAATCCATGTCTTGTGAGTCTCACTTCCTCATTTGGAAATATGAACACAGCACTGTCTATACTCTGCTTTGAATCTCTTAGTTAATCCATTTGTGTGGTCAGTCCTTCTGACTGACAAGTTGGACAAGATGGGTAAACCCGTTTGCAGTCGCCTACTGTAATAAGCATCTTGCAGCTCAGTGGCACCAGAGCAGAGTTATTCTCCTGGGCTGGAAAGTTCAGGCTCCTCACAGGTCAACATGACATATCCACCCACAGCAGAAGTGGTGTCAGAGCTTGTGGATTTTGCTTCTCTAAAATCAAAAAAACTAAATAGAATATTATTTCAAAATGAGTCAATATGGCATCAAGTGCAATACATTACTCAGAGTACAGTACTGTGCTGACATCTGGGTCATGGGATCTGCGATGGATGCCAGAGCCAGGCACAATGAGCCTTATATATGACTAACCTGAAATGCCAACAGTGAAATTTGTGTCCTGCCACTTCGCAAAATCATCCCTTTCTTTCTAAATGGAGGGGCTCTGTCAAGTTACTGAAATGCAAATATTGAAGCTGGTGATATATTTTCACAGAATAAGCTTGAAGTTTTGTTTGTTTTCCTGAAGACATAAATATGGGTTTTAGCATATGCCTTGACTACGACACAACTAAAACCAAATACTACTTTTGCTTGAAAATGCCTTCTGTTACATTAAGAACTAAAATGAGGCTAGAGAAGAAAAAAATAAACTGATGATAGTACATGTCTATCCAGCTTAAATTTCTCTCCCAAGACATTTCTCACTTGCATAACAAGTGTATCATACCAGTCTGTCTCAACTTTGCCTGTAGAATCACATTCCCCTAGTTAATGTGAACAAATGGATAAAGCCAGAATGTCTGCATAGATGTCCAGGCTGCTTACCAACATCATGCTGATCTTTTTGCATTCTATGAACATGAGAATTCCCACTTTGGAAAATGTTGCAGAGACTTTTCGGTGCACTTACTGCAACACCGAGGTAGAGGAAGATGGCTCGGCGTTTCCGAAGCATGACGCTCGAGCGCTGCTGGCCAAGTTCAACGAGCAGATCGAGCCTCTCTTTGTGCTGCTGCGTGAGACCGAAGAGATTGTGCTGCCCTATGACTTGCTGGAGCCTCAGCCAACAGAAATACCAGAATTATCAGAAAGGTATGAACACCACCCTAGAACTTCTGATCAATGCAAATCCCCCCAACAACTTACCAGTTGTAAAATCTTTGAAATACTGAACTTGCAGCCTATGTACTCCATTCTGCTTTGTTCAGTACAGTCAGCTGTTTAATGAAGAAATCTGTAATATTTAAGGCACCCTAAATTATTGCTATACCTTTTTAAATCTTTGATGCATTTTTTAAAGTCATTTATTCACCAGGTTACTCCTTCAGCTAATGTTCATAGCCCTTCCTATAAGGAAGTAATATTTCTCTATCAGTGTGCTTCATCCAGAGATGCACTACTGAAGAGACCTTGTAAAAATCAACGGTTCAGAACCATTTACCTCTGAGAGGCAAAAGGGAATGTAAATTATTAGAGCACTTGTTAAAGTTAGCCTGCTAACAAAACATGGTTTTGAGGATTGCTTGTTTGTGATTGTTGATCAGGTTTTTTTAAATGGGAACTGGGGTGGGGGGGAAGGGGTTGTTGCCTCAATTCTATCTCTTCAAAATGTGACACCTCATTCAGCTTTGATCCAAAGCTGGGCTCAAGTGTGCTGGAATCCTGCAGCCGCCCTGAAAAATGGGCACACAGAAGTTCTGCTTTTGGCCTTGCATACACCCAAAATCTAACTATTGATGTCCAAGACTCAAAGCAAGAGAAGAAAAGAAGAGAAAAAGCAACTCAAAAGCAACCTATCTGGTTGTCACAGAGCACTGTGGAAGGAGCAGCAACAGGCACCATCAATAGTGTTGGTAAGTTTAGTGAATTCACCAATTAATTCTGCAGCCTTAGTGTAAATACAGCTTTCCCACTGAAAATCTAGTGAGCTTGGTTTAGAAGATACTGTTTCAATTCTGTGTTAGTGGTTATCAGACCTTAGTTTCCAAAATCTAGTTTTAAGACTGACTGACATTATATTCCTAAAGCCAGAGATCAGATGTGTCCTAAAACTTCTGGCTTTAGCCACACAGTAATTAAGTGGTAATTTTTACAGAGGAAAGCTCTTAGAAATGTCTGTTATTTTCAAGAGAATTCTAGTGTGGGTAAAAAAGATCCAGAGTAGAAAAAAATAATCTATGTAGGATGCTTATGTGGTAACTGTAAACACTTGATCCCTCTAACACTAAGTGTTGTTTATTAGGAGTAAATGCTTCTGAAGAAACTGAAGAAAATGTTAAAGAAACTGTCCCTGATAATGAAATCATCAAGACTCTTCTGATCCATGAATCCAAGTCATCATCTAGCACAGATCAGCCTCCTATTGTCAAAAGCAAACTACATGGATCACACAGTGATAGCAGTGAGTTTGAAGAGGATGCCAAGCACTCAAGAGGAGCAGGAATGAAAGTAGCAGGCAGCAACTTTGAACAAGAGGAGGAACAGGAAACTCTGGATCCTATTTTAATGGTAGCTGGCCAGCCCTACTCATATGGCCAAGTTAGTGAAAACCCAGAGCTTGTGTCTCTCATGACAAATGAAGAGAGAGACACTTACATAAAAATAGGACAGGAAATGTTCCAGTCTGTCTTTGAGTAACTACTACTGTAAGAATATCCAACCTTGTACAGAATGGATGAAGTCTTCTGACCTATGTTTTTCAAAGTTTACCACTGAAGGGTTTTGTTTGAACTTGCTCTTAAGCAAGATGGTAATCCTGTAGTAGGCAACTACAGTTCAAATATTATCACTGCAGCCACAGCAAGTATTGTTTGTTGTTGTAATGCTTAGACTTTGTGCATGATGTAATTAGTTTTGGAGCATGAATCATTTCAGGATACATTTGGATCTGATTAAAATAACATTTGAAAAGTAGTGATGCAATCTATAATAAGAAGTAAATTATTCCACCTCTCTCCCAGAAGTAACAGTTACTTCCAGTAGTGAAAATGAGTCCAAATCCAGTATGAGTTGGTTTCATTCCATATGTGTGTTCCACTGGTTAGGTCACTCACAGTACAACAGTGAAGGGCAGGTGTCACACAGCAACCTCCTTGCAAGGGAAGAGCTGTTACTAAATTGCATTAGCAACGGATGAGAAGCAACTCTGGCATCTGAACTTTTATCCTAGGAATAATTTTTCCAATTCTTTTTACTCAGGGCACTACAGAACTGTCTGGAATGGTGAACTGTGCAAGGGGCACTGGACAGTAAAATGTAGCATTTCACTTTGGTCCAGATCAGTAAGGGAGCAAGGAATGTATCAGGCACAAGACTTTGTTTCTCCCATCTCACTCCCATACTCCCCAGTGTTCTTTTTAAGCAAGAAATAAATTCTGCTTGAAATGAATTACAGAAGTAGGGCTGACATTAGGCATAAGTGATAGTTCAACTTCATCAGGAGTTCTACTACTTGAGCAAGCGATAATGAAAGTAGACTAGAAGGGCACAAAGTAAAACACAGGAAGTTCTCTCTGAAAGTTAGGAAACACTTCACTGTAAGGATGACAAACACTGGCACAAGTTGCCCAGAGAGGTGGTAGTCTCCCAGAAGGAAGATACTCAAAAGCCACCTGGGCAAACAGCTCTGAGTGGCCCTGCTGGCACAAGATGACCTTGAGAGGTCCCTGCTGACCATTCCGTGATGAAACAGTAGAGAGTAGGTATGACCAAAGAAATACCATTTCAATGCATTTTTCATGTATCCACAGTGTTGGTTCTGACAGGTAATTTTCTGTTCAGTAGCTGGTGTGGGGCTGTTTTGAATCTGCGGAAAGTAAGTGTTGACACCTTAGAGTTGTTTCCCTTATCGCTGAGCAGCACTTGCACAGAGCCCAGACTGCTTATGACCCTATGCCCACAGCAAGGAGGCTGGGGATGCACAGTTAGGAGGGGACAGCACCAGGACAGCTTCCCCACACTGACCAAAGGGCTATCCCACACCACAGGGCATCATGAGCATATAGAGCCCAAAGAAGAAGGAACAGGGGACAGTTGGAGTAATGGCATTTGTCTTCCCAAGTCCTTGTTATGCATCACGGAGCCCTGTTTTCCTGGAAGTGGCTTAATGCCTGCTTGCTATTTTGCTTTGTTTGCATGTGTAGCTTTTGCTTTACCTATTAATCCTTCTTTCAACTATGAACTTGTTTTCACTCTTCTACTTCTCTCTCTGAGCCCACTGGTAGGGGACTGAGCAACCAGCTGCCTGCTGCTCAGTTGCTGGCTGGGGTTAAATCCATCATTCCACCACAAGAATTCAGGAATGGGAGGTGCTTAGGTTCTTTCTTAAGCTTAGAATTTATTGATTCAACATATAAACTGACCTTATTTCAAAGCTGCACAAAATCTCACTCTACTTTATAGCAAAGGTCCTCTTTTAGGTCCGAGTGATTCTTGTGCTTAATTAGTAATTAGAAGTTTGATTGTTTCCGTGTTGCAGCTTTGCCTTTGTCACAACATATTTCCTTGGCCCTCAAAATGGTTAACTTTTTTCTGCCTACAGTAGTACCACCAGTGTAAAGCCTGCAGAGTAACTAAACTTCATAAAACATTTTGCTAATCTACTTTCATTCTTGCACATGAGAGGCATGTGACCATAATCTGCCAATTCAAAATTTGTTCATAAAACCTAGAAACACTCCAAACAAACTAGAAAAAAAAAATCACAAAAGTATTACAATCTCATTTTATTTAAACTTCAAGCATATTTAGGCTTCACCATCACTATACTGTCTCTCACAGTATATAACCATATTATCATACTAGCCTCAAAAGCAACACAATCCTGAATTAAAAATAACCAGTGCTTTTTAACTACTTTCATAAAAGCCTTGTGTTTAAGGTAAACAGGATCTTTATAATGTAGCAGGTGTGCTGAATAAGCTTCTTCTAGCTCAATTTTATGACTTAAATGTTATTAGCAACTCTGACCTGAAAAACTGAACAAAGTTTTCCAATCTACTCTTCTGTAATTCTACTTTACCTTGAGACTCCAGGAGGTGCTGACTTCAACTGCATTTTAAAACATTGACGTTGTAAGGAAATTTAGGAAACTACAATTAAAGTCAAACACTTTAGAACAGATTCTCCAGACCGTGAATTGCAGCAATTTTAAGTTAGCTATGAAAAGATATTAACATTTTCAGACAAGTTTAATCCTGTGAACATCAAAAGGATTCAGCAAATGCAGAAAAATACAGCTGGTTTCTGCAGTAAATTACAAACCTGGGGTATTCAACTTCATCTCAGATAAATGTGCTGATAGAAAGGAATTCCACAAGCCATGAGCAGGAACTTTTTTGTTACAGACAAGCTATACTCTAGGCTATAAAGACAACATGTAGGTATGTACTGTGTCTATACCTTGTATTTGAGAAGGGGCAAGAAACTTGGAGAATTTCTTGTCCCAGGAAAATGAGCAGTGTTCCTTGTAAGAGAAGAGCAAACTGCTACAAGCATGCCAACAAGTCAATCAACTTCCGGCAACAAACTCAGCGTACCAGTTTGTAAGCCAAAGAAAATTTTTCAAAAGAGAAAACTTACAGACAAGTCCAAACTTTATTTAAAACTACCATTGTGAACAATTTTAAAATTACCAAACAAGTCACAATAAAAATAAAAAATTAAGACAGAAAAAGAACAGTGCAGCAAAACTGAATAGAAGTGGATTCAGTTCCAGCTGTTTAAACTGCCACAGGCAGAAGATCACATACCTATCCTAAGAGGCAGCATGTTAAAAATTTTACATTTTTATACACTTCCAGAATTCTGGGAAATTAGTACTGATCTTTATGCATTTGTATACATAGAGTTTATTAGTGCAGACATCTTCAGGTAATTCTTATGCAATCTGAGCTCCAAAAGTTTCTGTAAAATAAGAATAAAATCATTGTCTAATATCTACAAGGTATCAAACAGCTCATTACCACATTTCAACTGCTATTTCATCCTCACAAGCATTTTGAGCCACAGCTTACTTGAACAGCTACAGCCATTGCAGAGCTTAAGAATGGCTTAGAGCTAGCTACAACTTAGGTGTGGCAAGGCATTCTTGGTCAGACTGCTCCCACAGCAGCCCTGGGCATCAGCAGCCACCAAATGGGCACAACAGGCCTGTGCTGCCAGAGTTGTGACAAGCAGAAGGCTGAACAGGCAGTGACCAAAACAGAAGGAAAGATGCACCTTTTCTCACTCTTTGTTCTGGAAAAAAACCTGTGCTACAACTGCATATGCATTAAATGAAAAGCAGGTTCATCAGCTTATACTATTTGAGGAATTGGAAGGAAGCACATTAGCAGAAAACTGCTACTATCAGAATCCCCAGTTCATGCCCTTTATATATGCCATTACTGTATACTCCACTGGAGAATCACAAGTCTATCAATAAAACAGAAGTCTTGAATACTGTAATTCTGTGACAATATTATAGAAAAACCCCAATTTACTTCAAAATGTTGAAGTAAAACATCAGTTATTTGTACCCTTACACACTTAAGTGTAAGCAATTTATCCCATGAGAGTATGTGACTTGATTTCTGACTGAAAAAAGTTTTTAAAAAGCCCACAAAAACCATTTTCTCTCACTTGCATTATCAATGTATCTGCATAAATAATATTTCATGGAAGTGAAACATTTTATTGCTATCATACACACTGGAACTTTTTTCTACCACATGGTATACTTCGCATGAAAAAAATTTATTTCTCCCTGAGGAGAAGTTTTACTGTTCTGAAAAGACTCTTGAATGTTCACAAAAGCACTGAGCAGTCTGTCAGGAACTTATACTGAGTGTTATTAAATCAGATAAGAGCAATTATAATTTACAGTATTATTAAACCCAAGCTTGTGTAACAAGAAACAAAAATACCACTCCATTTGAATAAGTTTCAAAACCATTATATTGTGACATCCACTTTAAATATATTAACTTTTATGACTTTATCAGCTACAGAATCTAAAAAATTATATAGAAGGGAGATGGACAGCAAGATAAAATCCCTTCATATCAATACAACACTTTCAAATGCATGATAACAAAACCCAGTGTTTTTACTGCACTACTGTAACTGCTTACTTCAATCAGCAATATTTAAATTCTAGCACTCCTGAGTGTTTTCCCAATATGTGTACAGAATATAGAAAAAAATTACCAGGTTCTTTCAATGTTTGGGCATCTCCAATTAATTCTTGATCTTGAGCTCCACCTCCATCCAGTAATTCATCAGACAAACTCTTGGTTTGGGCCTCTGTTTCCATTTTCTTCATTATATCTGCCTTTGTAACAGAAAAAGCAAATCTGAAAATTCTGGATAATTCTTGCTGCTGTCTGGGTAACACAGACATTTACAGTTACACATGCACTTCTAAACAACAATTGCACAAATACTAGCAAAATACCTCTGAATACACAGCAAGTTTGAGGGGCAAGTCTTCAACTTTCACAAAGTCATCCTCATCAGATTTTTGACTTACATTTCCAGAACCAGGTTCCTGTTAATAAAAATTGTGGTATTTAGGAAGTGCTACTTTGTTTTCTTTTCACTCCAAAACTATTGAAGTATACTAAAATCAAATTTGCAGATGGGAACAAAACAAGACTGCAAACCAGAAATAACACTGAAATAAGAAAAGCTTATAATTTCTCTTGGATGGATCTTAACTGAAATATACACACATATTCGTTCACTAGCACAGGTGACTCTGTATCAGGGCTGCCAGCCATGGAGCTTTCAGAACTTGCACCAGATTTGTTTTCTGCACGTGTGGTATCTGGTGTTTGAGTTTCATTCACTGCCAAAGATGAGCTTGATCCTTCAGTTTTCACAGTGGCTGTTACAAAGGATTCTGGGGTATTGGCTGTTAAAGCTGGTGTATTCTCCATGACACTGAGGTAATGATGCACAGCTGCAGCCATATCTTGTTCACCTAAAACCACAGAATTACATTTTAACTAGGGACAGACAGTAAAATACTCTGAATGTACAAAAATTATTATTCTTTTAAAAATTATAATCCAAAGCTACAAATGAGCAATGAAAGTAAATTATAGTCTCTTAGACAACCCAAAGCTGATTGAAGTAAAACATCAGTTATTTGTACCCTTACACACTTAAGTATAAGCAATTTATCCCATGAGAGTATGTGACTTGATTTCTGACTGAAAAAAGTTTTTTTAAAACCCACAATAAACAACTTCCAGAACTAAGTGACCTACTACAAAATATTCATTCTAGGTATGAGGAGATATAACAGAACAGTAAATACCTTAATATTTTGCCACTCTAATATTGATTTTTAGCCTACAAAAAAAGGCCAAGAACAAAACTAATGTTTGCAACAGAAAAGCACAGGGAAGGTGGTAATAACAGTTACACTAGAAATAACATTCATACAGCCCAGTAATGGTTCCCTTCTTTTGATGGAAAGCATTTCTTTGCTCTTAATCAGTTACAACATTACTCATAGAAAAAAAATTTAAAATAGACAATTCAATAACTAGTAAAACAGTACTAGCAGAAAAAACAAGTACAAGACAAATCTAAACATCAAAACATTTTAACACATTAATTCTGATACAATTGTGTGCCAAGAGCTGCAACAAGCAGCTAAAATTCTTGCTCATGTCAAGCATCAAAAACCACATCTACCTAAGTAAGATTGTTCCATGTTTCCTCTTTAAAAGGTTTACTGTGTCAGTATCAACACAGGTACATCCAGGCAACTGATACAGTTCCATGAAACACAGTCCAGTAAATTTGATCATCTTTCTCTTAGTTACATGCATCACAGAATTGTCCAAGACAATTCTCACCATATGCAAATTCATATGAAAGTATTACTGCATACAGGGCTTACCTTTAGCAGGCTCTTGTTCTGATGATGAAATTTCACTACTTTTTGGCTTACTCAACTCTTGGTTAGAAGTCTATTGGGGAAGGTAAAAATGAGTTAGGACAAAATTTTACCGATCAGCTTCACAGCTTATTGGCTAATTTACTAACTAGAAACACACTGTTCACTTGCTCCATGAATTTGTCTTTTCACTAGTTTGAAATAAAGATCGCAGGTCCTACTTGCCAGCTGGTCAGTAACAGTTTACAAAACTACTAACATTAATAGGCATGTTTTATCTGAACATTTTCTTTTCACTGCAGCAGTTCCCAGGAAAACTCTGGTTCCACTTAAAAGATCTACTGTTTTAAAGTAAAATGTTCCAGTTACATCCTTGCCTAATGTTGAGCAAACCAAAGTTTCAATAGATTGTCAGTCTTATTTAATACATAAAGAACTGACAATTCTCCAAAACAAGGTCACACATATTAAAATTTTAACTAACAGCGAAATGACAATCATACCCAATAACATTTCACCATTGTTCCAGAAATAATTATCACAAAAGGGATGAAACACAAACAAAAGACATGCTAGAATACAAGAGTGAATTACCCCCAATTAGAACTTGATCTCAGCAAACACAGAAAAAGAACTACTTAAAGGTTTAAAATGATGTTTTCTTGAAAGTTTAACTTCTCACTTGCAGCTTAACAGTTTTTCCTCTCTCATAGCAGATGTAAACACTAGTTTAGTCTCTGTCCATCCATCTACTTTAGCATCAGCTGTAATAAACTCAAGTGAGGAATGCATTTTGCATGTAGCACCTACTGGCATCATACAATTTCTTGTATTATTCTTTTACTTTCAATAGTATGAAAAAAGTGCAAGAAGAAAAATAAGGCACACAGATATATGTACTGAAAAGGTGTGCACTGGCACATGTTTGTTCTGCTTTTACAATTTTGTCTGTACCTGTTCATTTTCAGTTGTTTCACTGCTGGCTTGTAGTGATGTTTGCACATCAACAGGTCCTTCCTCAAATTCTATTTCTTCATCTTCATTCTCATCTTCTCCACTGCCATAGTTAGTCAGAGCCTGGGTTTCTGCTTTTGATAAACCTAAAGGCAAATCAATGTAAAACCACCTTTGAATTGCCAAATCCTGTTGGGGAATTTAATGCAATGATATCCCTTACTTCAAAACATTCTTTAAGATTAAGATACAGTAACAACTCAACTTGCAAAGATCTCTATGTTTCACATCAGCTATACTATGAACAAACACCCACATTGGTGTGAAATGTCAAAGTTATTAAACAAGTTGGTGCAAAGAATGTAAATGATAAAGGAATCCCAGCCAGAAGTAGTTGATGTAAGACAAAAATCAAGACAATAAATAAATAAACAAATAAATGCAAGCTTTACTTTAAAGTAAAAGCACATTTTAAAAAGCCATATTGTTTAAATTAAAAACTGCATAAAATTTGAACAGCTTTCACATCATTCAGGGTAAAGTCTGAGAAACTTGGAGTTCAACTAAGACAGGATATATAACCTAATGAATCCACTTCTAATATATTTTTACAAATCTACTGATTATGAAAAAGATTACTTCCTCTAATTGGAATATTTAACCCTTGACATAACACTAGGAAATACAGTACTGCAAAACTTTCACTGACAAACGACTGACTATAAAATCTGTGAGAGAAGGTGTAACATAGCACTACCTCATGCAAATCCTGTTGTAAGATTAGCTGGTCAAAACTACAGTGGAAGCACTGAGTAATCAACTATATGAAAGTTCCTTACTTATTGCCACTGGACCACTTTCACTTTCCTCATCTTCCTCTTGATCAGATGCATCAGATCTAGTATTTTCAGGCACTCTGTTACCAGCACCCGCTTCTGAGTCCGGCACTTGTTTAGCAGTTTCAGTCTCGTCCTTGTCCTAGGAAAACATGGAATACTGTACAATTTCATGTTTATATAAAGACTACACTAAGGTTTCTGCATAAATGAAACTTCTGTTTCTCAGAAGTTAAAAAGTATCTACTAAAAATCTAAGTAGTTTAAGTGGTCCTTACAGCCTTGAAATTACTACAGCAGAACAATACCCATTAAAGAGCATCAGAACATGGCCCTATTCAGACACAGCTTTCAAGGGCCTTGTAACTATTGAGTTTGTCTCAAATCTGCAAAGGTTGACACTGATCAGCATGCTAGGTTAAAAAACCCTTTCAATTAGATTTCTCATTATCAAGAAGACAGACACACCTGCCTTATTACCTTGCAGCAACTTCCCTGCTCTTCCTCAATGAGGAGTAAGAATATTCCTAACTGCAGCTTCTCATTTCTCTAGCAATATCTCCTCAGCAGTCTCCCTGCTGAATAATTTGCTAAATATGCTGAATGAGAAAATTCTGCATTCCTCTATGAACCTCAAAGTAAAGCCCTGAGTTTGGCTCCAAATCTTGAAAGGACTTTTCTACACTAGAGCAACTGTAACAAGTGATGTACAACTAACTACCTGCTTTAACTTCCAAAGCAGTGTGACAGAAGCTCTAAGCCCTAGAAGAAAGCACTGGCTCCACTCCCACACATGCCTATGCCTATACCTATATCCATTTAGGATAGCAATCAACATTCTGCTTGGTATATATACTTGTATCATTCCCTTCACTGGAGAAAGCTGAACATTCCAGCTGACCATTTGAAACTTCATACACAACACATCTCCCCAGTGATATCAGTGATTTTCAAAAGAAACGTGAAAAGAAAAGGGACAAAATCTGAGCACTAACATTTCAGAGCACAGTCAGGCTGGGACTCTGAGAACTTCAATACCAGATGTCCCAATTCAGAACATCTACCTTCTCCTGAAGATGGAAAGTAAATTAACTTATTCCATACCATTAACAAAGAAAATGTTAACTGCTATAAATAGTTAAGCTGTCCTTAGAAATGCAAATTATAATTTACTTTGTACCTTTGATAAAATAAATGACTGAAAATAACAGAAAGAGATTAATAAATTTCTAAAGACTGGAAAATGGGCTGCTTACAGACACTTGATTCCTATGACAGACAACAGTAAGACTGAGTGACCTATGAAATTATCTGAGGAATAAAGACAGTTGAAAGGCATACACATACTTTGTCCTCATCGACATCTTCAACAGAAGAACAAACATCCACCTGGAGACCTTTTTTTGCCTAGAAGAAACACAAACTGTCTTCAATTTTAAACTGATATAACTTGGAAATACTGAATCAAACTAAGGCTTCATGAAAGCCAGGCTGAAATGCTAATCTTACTAAGAATTGCTATCTTAAAACAGCAGGAAGCCACAGGGACTTTTGTACACACACATGTCTTCAAAATTTCCGAGTTGGAAGCATTAAAAAAATCTGTGCTAACCCTTCTTACGTAAACAATTATGTTTATATTGGGCTAATCCTACAGTCTGTGGTTGAATCATATCTAGCACACAGAATTAGATACATCATGGCAGGGGGGTTTGAAACTAGATGATCTTTAAGGTCCTTTTCAACTCAAACCACTTCATGATTCCAACTCTGATCAAGACAAAGAGCTGTGTGTTCAGCAGTTACTTTGCTGGACTCAAGAGAGTCAGAAAATCGAGCAAGACCAAGTATGTCTGCATCAGGATTCCAGAGTTGAGGGCTGTAAAGACCATACAGAGATAATCGCACAGGGCTGTACAAAGTAACCAGGGCCTATGACTTCTGGCTCATCTGTGGCTTTGTTGAATCTGAGCCTCCGCCACAGCAATGAGGCAAACATTTACTTTAACCCTAATTTTGTCTTCCAGGAGAGAAGAAATACTGGATCTAAGCTAGCTCCATGCTTTCTCATAGCAGGTACAAACTAACTCTTTATGTAACAAAGATACATAAAGAGTTGGTTTATACCTGCTATGAGACTGAGTTTATACCTGCTCTGAGTTGCCAATGGACAACTTCAGATAAAACAGGAAGTCATGTCTAAATATTTCTGGATTCAGTGTTCCTTTGGCCTCTTTACAAGGCACTCCACAGTCTCCCTCATACCAGCCATACTATTGAAATATCTGAATTTATTATCTTGAAGTATAGCTGGCGGTACACCTAAAAATACTTGTAGGACTTCATACCAGGTTCAAAAAAAAATCTTTTGCTGGCATTTAAAAATTAATTAAGGGTATGTTTTGGTATTTGTGTTTCTAGAAGAAAGCTGAAGTGACACTGAAATCATAAATACATGAACATGATCTGGTTCATTGTTTGCTTTGTAAACAGATCATGCAACTTAAAAAAACGCAGCTATGCTCCCAATAAAAGCAATACTAAACTTAATAATGTAAATGGTGTGAAACCTAGCCAAAGCTTGCTTTTTAGAGCAAGAATATGTCCTACAGTCTCAAATATTTCTGAAAATATTATATATATTTTACATACCAAATCCAGAAACTAATTCTTTCTGCATATGCCAACAAACCAACTACATGACAACTTCAGAGGATTTACTCTTATTTTTTTAAAGATGATGCAAGGAAACCAGCAGGCAAACTAAAGAGATAATGAACTGGGACTTCCAATATGTCAAAATACTTAGTAGGGTGTAGTAGGGCCATGCAAAACCAATACACTGGGATAGAGTTAAACTTCTTCACAGCAGATAGCATGAGGCTGTGTTCTCGATTTGTGTTCAACACAGGGTCGACAGCGCAGGGATATTTTCATTACTCCCAAACTGCATTCCACAGAGTCAAGACCTTCCCTGCTCCTTACCCCACTCCAAAAGCAAGAGGTCAGAGTGCACAGCACTTGGAAGAGGACACAGCCAAGGAAGATGACCCTCACTAACCCAAGGGATGTCCCACATCACACAGCATCATGCTCAGCATATAAAGCTGGGTGAAGAGTGAGGGAGGGGGGGAGATCCAAGTGATGGTGCTTGACTTCCTATGTCACCATTACATGTGATGGAGACCTGCTCTCCTCGAGGAGGCTGAACACCTGCCTGCCTATGGGAAGTGGTGAATGAATTCCTTGTTCTGCTCTGCTTGCATGTGCAGCTTTTGCTTTACCAATTCAAGTGTCTTTATCTCAGCCCACAAGTGTTCTCTGTTTTACCCTGCTGCTTGTCTCCCCATCCCTCAGACGGGACTGAGTGGCTGTGAGAGGCTCAGCTGCCTGCTGGAGTTAAACTACTCAATGGCCCCAGGTGTTAAAACTATTTTAATACTTATTAATTCCTTCATATGTTCACACAAAACCATTAAGACATTTCCTCTGAATTATAAACAAAGTCTATACAATTAGACATCTGTAACAGATAGTCATCTGTAACACAGGATTTGCCCTTACTGAGGAAAACCAGTTCACACTCCTACACAAGCAATACTGTGATTACACAGCAACTTGTAAAATAAATAAATAAACATGTATATAATAATGAATATAAGGCAAATAATGCAAAAAATAAGGCAATCAAACTAGTTTAGAAAATACACATATTTAGCAATCTCACAAATGCTAGATTTTTCAAAAATAAAATAAAACAAACCTCTTTAGCATAAGACTGCATTACTTCAGTGGTTTCTATTTTTCGTTTACATCTCTGCTTTACAGAAATACTGTTGTTGTCCAAGTCTTGCATAAGTTTAAAAAAGGCTAATTCATTGAATAACACTTCAGAGATCTCCACAAGAAGATCCTCCCCACAATCTTTTAATTTTCTACCAGCAAATTTTGCCAGTGAATCCTGTGAAGAGAAATAATTCTTCAGTTTCTGAAATAGGCTTTCAAGCTTTAAAGATTAAGCAGTTTTTGTATTTCTAATAACTTGGAATTAGTTATGTATATATAAGCTCATATTTTTTAAAAAAGTTTTAGTGCCCTAAATAGATTTTACATGGAATCTCTAGTCACATAACAAAGAACTTAATAAGCTCATGATTTAAATTCCATGCTTGTAGAAAAAAAAAAAAGAAGAATAAAAAAGTGCAAACTACAGATTTTCAGGAATTTACACAAGATGTCCATGAAAAGCATCACCAGAGCTCTCTCTGAAGACAGGCACAGGCTAGAGATACATCTCTCACTACCTGGCTCTGACAGAAAAGATGTTCTATGTGCATAAATAATTTGTGTAGGAACAAAGGTAATACTTCATCACTGTATCTAAGGTGAGGGAGAATGGCAGCTGTGCTATTCAAGGTGTAAAATACAACTTCAGAGAAGTCTGCTCATTAGCCAACTTGAGTGCTGCAAAACAGAACTGAAAAACTACTAACCTGAAGTATACTGCCAAGCTGCTTATGAAAGAACTTCACAAACTCTTTACTTTCATCATTTTGTTGCGTAAGAGTCAAGACCATACGTCTTACTGATGTCAGTAACTGAGAAGAGCATACTTCATCCATGTGCTCCTACACAAGTACCACAGAATGAGCTTTGTTACCACTTCAAAAGAAAAACTAGCCATCAACTCAAGTACAGAAATTAATTTATAAAAAACCCACTTGTCCACTGAAGGAACAGCACACCACAAAAATTCCCAGTCAATCTCAAAAACACCATACTTGATAAATGACTGCTTGGCCACAACACACAGAGATTTATGTCAGTTTTCCAGTACATGAGTACTTGGTATTTTATAACGTTTGGCCAAACTAAGGAGCTTCATATATTGTGGCTGTGTACACAAGTGTATTGAAGTGCATATTAAGACATCTACTCTTATATGCAGCCTTAAAATTGCAAAAAAAGAACAAGTCTTCAGGCACTCTGACTCTGGCATGCCAACAATATAGTTTTTAAACTTAGTATCACCAAATACCTCATTAGACAAACCTAAGCTTATACACTGTGCATTCTATAAAAGAGAACAGGGAGATGCCTTAAGCAACTCCATCTTCTCTGCTCTCCAACCTTGCAAAGAAGAACTGTGACTAGTTCTCCTTCTTTCAAGAAGAACATTTCTTCTTTGTAGTCACAATAGTTAAAAAGTTCTTAACAACTTTAAAGATATTTGTAAACAGAAGAAAATAATGTTAAAAAAACTACTCGGAGATATTCTTCAAAAATATCCTATTACTGTACATGCAGCAGTTTTAATTAGTGATCTCAGTTCTGTCTGCTAAAAGGCACCAAATATTTCAGAAGTACATTCTCAAACATTTTTATATTTAATTTTTTCAGCTCTAGAGCAAGCAACCTCTATTCTTTGTGATGTCAAGTCCACCTGCCCTATAAAATCTAGAAACTTCACCATTTATTTCTCCTATTAATAACTACACAGAATCTTTCTGTGGAAAATCTAATTCTTACTTCATCTTCAGCAGAGTCTGCAACTGAACACATATTTATTGGCAGCTGCTTCTAAGAGGCAAGTTTTAGATTTTAAATAATGCTGTTCTGTGCAATTACACAAGTGTTTTTCTTACTCTTCTAATTCATGCCATATTATAAAGACCCCTTACCTTCAGAAAAGGAATGACCTCTTTCATAATTGCTTTAATCTGCCGGTCAAGCTGCTGAGTATCTATGCGAGGACACGGAACTGCAGAAACATCACCTGACTGTGGCACAGACTGACTTTCACCGGTTCCTGGACCTTGTTTTAATAAAAATAATTTTTAAAAAAGGCAGTACATTTAATACATTCAACAGATATTAAAGAAATATCACTTTCAAAAATTTATTTTAAAAAATATATCTTATTTCCTTAAGTATGCAAATATCCTTTCAAACTTTGCTAAGTTTTCAATATAAATAAAGAGAAAAGCAATTTAGCTTGATAGTTACTATAATTATTTTCTAAAACTAAGCAAAATATACATATATATGCATACCTTCTAATTTAGCAGCAGAAGCACCCTGAAAATTACTAGAGCAGCCCTCAGAGTCAAGGGTACTTTCAGCTTCAACTTTCATACGCTCATATTCCCTCATCCAAGACAAAGCTTTATCTAAGTGAATCACTGTGTTGCCTATATTTAGAATAAAAACACTTTTTAATCTAAATAAAAAGTTTTCAATTGATAGACAAATAAACAATTATTAAAATGACTTTAAGGCCCCAAATGTTGAAATCCATATATAACTAGTTGTAATATTTTATTACACACTTTGATGAACTCTGTGTTTCACAATTAGCTAATTTATTTATGTTTTGTCTTACAAAACATGTAATTACACACTAAAAATCAAATAACAGTGTACTAAAGTGCAGACAACTGCAGGCACTTAGGGAGGGAGGGAGGGAGTAACACTTAAACACTAAGTCACATCATTCTCACCAAGGTCATCGGTGGCAAAGGGTTCAAAATTTGAAGAAGTAGACATAGTACTGCCATTGTCTGCATCAGGTTGTTCACAATCTCGACATGCTTCTGTAGAAAAGTTCTTACCAAAAGTTTCCTAAAAAATACCAGACAAGTGAATACAAAGAAGGAACACACCATACTCTCACAGATGTGTGAACAAGCCTGCAATTCTTTTCAGTGACTTGTTGTGGTATCAGGGTTTGTCATAAGACTGCCTGACTGGAGAACAACCCTACTTTCAGGTTATAAATCCATCAGATTAATCTACCATGCTTACTTCAAATACTTCAAGTGCAAAACATGTAAGAAACTGTACAGAGGTGTAATTGATTTCTTAAATACAAGCAAAAAATTTTGGAGAATCATGTGATCAGTACTTGTCCTGACCTTACTCAGGAGAGGATTTTGGCTCTGAATGTATCAGTTTCCTATTTACATCCCTCTCCACATTTCATTCACTCCTGACACATCACTCATTTGCAGTACCAAGAATCCTACCATATTTTATCACTTTTGCATTGATTCTTTTGCCACTAGTTGTTTAGAAAAGTCTGTGTAAGTCGATACTAATTTTAACAAAATTCATTCCCTAGTATATTTCACTAGACAAGCATATATGTGTGCAAACTGAAATACAGGAAAAGCTGCCAGTAGCTTCTGAATTTCAACACTTACATCATCTGTAGAAGCAAGACTTTCACTAGGAGTGAGTTCAGAATTTGATGCTACCCATGTTGAAGAATTCAGTGATTTTCCACACTTCCCTTTTTCATTTTTCTCACATAAATGTCTAGTCACGATATCCTAGAAAAAGATAATCTATGCTGTAAAAAGATCTAAGGTTTGCTTGATTCATAAATAAAATCAAAAATCTGTGCATACCTGCAAAGCATATAGAGCCCTTTGCCTCAGATAATCTGTATTTAGCAGCTGAAGCTCATGGAAAAGTTCAATAAGAAAGTGGGGACGAGACTCATTTTGAGAAATAAGAGTTGCCACTTCAGAATAAATTGTGTCTCGCAAAGCTTCAAACATAGAAAGATCACTACCAGTTTCTGTAGAAAAAAATAAAGGAACTTGTTAAGTCCTTGACAGGCATCCACTTAACAGGCTATCAGGTATGCAACTTATGAGTTTACAAATTATGTCCCAGTCATTGCAGATTCCCAATATAGCTGCTTTCATAAAGCTTATTAATTTCCTGAAGGGCAAACATTCTTAAATTATACTTTATGCAATCTCCAATATATAAAATACAATATAGAGCAATTGTAAAAATAATTTTCTTTACACTTCTGAACAATACCTTTTGAAAGTATTGTTTATAAAAGAGAATACTGCACACAGCACAATGATGCTTTCAGAATAAGTATTAAACACTGAAAATGGAGTTTCAAGACATTTCAAGAAAGATAGTGAATGGTCTCAGGTTTATATAGTACAGGCAGTCCACACTTCTGCAACACAAGCAGCATTAAGAAAGCTTTAGGCTGAACTCTAGAAAGCCACTCTTTGCCAACATAAATGCTACACTCTCATACATGTTTAGTATCACTCCCAAGTTCACAAAAAACCTCCTACCCTTAAACCCTATTACATATAAGACGATGTGTTGCCTAACAAATCTCCCATTCATTTGACAATTAAGGATTATCCTTGCATCACAACAATCAAATTATTACATGCATTATTTGGGAAGTGCTGAATGGAAACATAGCTAAATTTGGAAAACTCAGTTTAACAGATGTGTAATTGTTAGTATTCAAGTTAATGAAGTTATTAGCAATACAGCAAACATTACTGTGCAATTTGATTATCTGCAAATAGTTGACCAATTTTTTAAGCACAGGCAAGCTTTTTCAACCTTTGAAAAGTTACCGCAAATTGCATCCCTCTCCCATTACTAACAGGTAATAGCAGCTTTTAAACATACTAAAAATGCCTACTGAAATAAATTTTTTGATGCAGTATCTACCTCCATATTTTCTATTTGTGTTACTAATCAAGAACAGGGTAACCACGTTCTCCACAACTGTAATTCAAAGCAGTTGGTAACACTGCACTTCATGCAAGGTTACTTCTCTTGTCTTGGTTATAGGGAAGGTGCTGCAATAGCACTAACCTTGAACATCTGCTAAACAGTGAGTTACAGGACCAAAGGTAAGAGAAGAAAAAAAAAAAAGTAATAGCATATTGTTGAAGCTAAGCAGTGAATGCATTACCTGGCGCTTCAATGCATGCATTTCTGTTAGACTGCTGCAGAATTCTCCTAGCATGCGCTGTAGGAAAGTGGGGATAGACAGTGATAAACACAAAAATGTGCACCAGAAATAAAGACAGGGTCTATACAAAACAGCAGGAGGAAGACTGCTTAGTCATCCAAACCACATCAGAGCTGCTTATTGTGAGAATGAGAACTTGAGCAGTGAAGTTTATTACGTACACTAATAAACAGCTCTTAGTGTGGACATAGCTACACTGGCAAAGCTTTACATTGTGCTACAATGACTACAATTTCTGCATCTCTTAAAAAAACCAGAAATAATGGCAGAACCAAAAAAGGCACAGGAGCGAGAATTTTTATGATCTAGATACAAGAAAAGCAGTGCAGATGGCAAAAATGTAAGGGTTTATGTGATGTTAAAAGACTGAATTTGAATGGTATTTGATGGGGCTCATTTAAGCACAAATAGGAAGAAGACATGTATGCAGTATAGGATGTAGTTTAAACATTAAGCAAAGTTTTATCAGTTTAACAGTTACTTTCCATAAAATCACCAACAATAGGTGAGATTGGCTACATTTTTGCTTTTTGTACGGTAAAAGGTTTCTAAATTACTTTAACCAAGTATTTAATATACAGAAAATGCCCAAAAGCAATTAATATCAAACTTTTTACACATTTACATTTACAGCATCCTTAGAAATTAAAATGCAAAATTCACACACTAAATATATAGTCCTGTCTTCCTGCCAAAACACACTGCATTTAAATAACACACTAGCAACTAAGGTCCCTTACTCACATAAGTTAACAAAATAATTAAACATTTTGAAAAGAGTACCTGAAGACATTTCTGTAGATCTACTGTATTTAATTATTTTTTCCAATTGCTCCTGATTCCTTTTGCTGAACACCTTTGCATGAACCACATCATCAGAGTGTCTGCTTTTATTGTTCTTGCAGGGCTCACACACACTAGAAGCACTTGCACTTTCATAACCTAATGGGAGGAAATGAAAGGGAAGAAATAAAGAAACAGCTTACAAAATGTTTTATTACTTCAGAAAATTTGTTCAAGGGCACTCTTAGAGATGCAAAATACTAATGATGTTTCCTATACTAAAATCTTTCTCTGTATACTGAAGCCATACAGTAGTACTAAATCCTCAGCAACTCCAACAGTACTTCTATACTAACTAGTACTGTCCCACTCTTCTCACAATTTTAATGAAGCTTTTATTTTTTTCAGCAAATAATCCAGTTTGAACGAGAAGAAAATGAAGAAGATTCTCCTTGTTATTTTAAATCTGCACGTATCTGCATCCACGATCCTCTCAATTGGTTATTTATTTTCTATTGACTGAAATCCTAAAAAACTGGATGCAGTTGTATTACATAAAATTAAGTAACTTCAATAACTTATTGCCATTACTATACTATTTATTGAGAGTAAATTCTCTGGTATGTAATGATTATAATCCAAGCCAAGTTTGCCACAGTATCCAAGATTACTTTACAACCTACCAGCATTTTTAATTCTGCCTTTTAGCTGAGAAGAACTCTTCCTCTTATTCTTTGATTTGGGCGTTTTATCTTTGGATGCCAGGCTTGCTTGTGCCGATGCTTTTCTAGATCTAAATGTCTTTGTCACAGTAGTTGGGTCTATTGGATCAGGCATGCTACTGAAACTCTCCAAAGACTCTTCATCAAACTCTCTTCTCCGGCTCATATCACACTGATTTTTATGACCAGAAGCAGTATTTTGTACTGAAACTGCAAAACCAGCATTCAGCTGAGACTGATCATCTTTCTTCATTTCTTGGCTATCATCAAGCCAAGTTGATCTTTTCTCCATTTCCTCTTCAGGTTGTCTATGATTCCTTCTGTCAGAAAAGAAAGACCCACAGATCAATTTCAACATACCATAACTTGATCTCTCAGATAGAAACATCATGTATTACCAGCAAACAGTTTAACTGTAATGCATATTATCTGCCCTTGTTACTTAGACATCAAATGAATATTGAAAAATAAGTAACTCCAGAGAACCCTTCAAATGGAGAATGGAACTTCCCATTTATCTATCACTGGTTTCAATACGAATATATTAATGCAGCTACTGCTGTGCTCAAATAGTACCACAGGTCAAAACATTTCTTAAAGCAACATTCAGTACAATCTACAGCAACACAAAAAAAATAGCATTCGCTGAAAGTACATCCTCTAGTTATTCAAACAACTCAGTATCAAAACAATCCCACAGAAACAAAATCTTACTCCACCTACAGAAAGTGTTAGAAAACCACTCCAAGACTGCATTTGATTTTAAAATTTTCACGAAATGATACATTAATTAATATATAGAAAAGCAGAACACTACTGGAAAAAATGAAAAAAATTAAACTAGAAGTTACAAAAGTCAAGCTCATATAGTAATTCTATGACAATAAATTCCCTTAAAGAATGACGAATTTCCCTAAGCCCCAGAAAAGGGAGGAGAAATTATTAAGGGAGAGCTGCACTTTGACATTCAATACCTTTGTTTTTCTGCTCCATTAGAGGAACTGCTTTCAAAGGGTTTGGGGAATGCCATATACTCAGTTTTCCCAGAAGTATTATGATCTAGAGGATGCTGCTGCTCCTGCTGCTCACTGCTGCGTGGAGAAACATTATGTGCAAAATCTCCAAAACCAGATGGAAACACTGGATTACAGTTAATACCTACAAAGTAAACAAGAGAGTCAAAAGATAACTACATCATTTACTTGTGCAGTAAAATTCAAATTTGAGACATACTATGTGGCAGCATGGAATTATGAGCAAATATACATTGAGGAAGTAAGCAAGAACTGTTTTCATCCTGAAAGCACTGTAAACAATCAGAATTTATCTTTAGTGCAGGTTTTGAACACTACTGGATACTACAATCCCATCAATGGAGATCAAGGTCCTTCAAGAAACTATGCCTGTTTCCTGGTTTCCTAATAAGACTGAAATATATGAAGACAGTTTTGTTTACTTTTGAGTTATACAGTAAAATACCTACACTCCTTTCCTCCAAATCCAACAGCAAAAGTAGATTAGAGAAAGAGATTAGAAATGCTGTATGCAAATCAACAGTTACTGTGTAACTCTGATGGGAACAAAAATGAGTTAACATGCTCCATTTACAAGCACTTATAACAAACATGAGTGCTTGAAGCTCTAAGAAAAACAGAAATAATTACCAACTGCCACCTTCCAATTACATGGTTCACTCAGAACTTGATTTCAACTGTGAAATGATTGCTGAAGGTATGTAAAAAGCTTCAAACACTGCTTTTTGTATGTTGGATTTGAAACCTTACATGGAGTGAGTCTTTTCAAGTATAATTAACTTCATACTGAGAGAGTCTTGCTCTTCATACTGAAGTAAAAATATTTAATTATTCAGCAATAAACAGTAAACTTCTGCTTAAGACCGTTTCAATATAAAGGAAAAGTGACTGAGTTTCATTAAGTTCACATTACAATTTCAATTAAATGAGAAAATGTCCATTTTTGAAATTCATGTTGCTTCTCATACCTACAGTAATACTTACCTGGAGCAAAGGAGGAAAAATTAGTAAATCCTGGAACACTAAAGAGGTTCACAGGTTGTGGGGGGTAGTTGAATGGACAGAAAACAGGAGATGGAGGCGGTGGTGCACTACTGCCTCTCTCCTTTCTTGATGGTTTCTCTTGACACTGTTGTTCTTGCTGTTGCATAAGATCACTTAACATTTGTTTCAACCTTGAAAATAAGAAAAAATAACAACTTGGGGAAAAAGAAGAATATTATGGGAAAACTGTAAATTTATACTCAAGTAATTCGAGCTTCATATTATCTCACCTACACCATGTAATGTGTGTAAAGAAGTACTCTATTTAGCTTATTAAAAAACCTCAAGACAAAAATTACTTACATTTAATCCTGAGTTGGTTTAAAATCAACTGCTCTGTACTAGTGGTCATGCATGCACAGTTTAAACCTCCTTGTAAGAACAAAAAAACCTGACTACATACTAAAGAAATAAGCAAGCTGAAAACTTCAACAGAAACAATCAAGTATACAAAGTATTTACAGAACTGAGGTTAAAACTGATTTTAAAACTGTGTAAGAGGACAGCACATATATATCACTTACCAAATACAAAACAGAGATGAAGAGCTTCAACTTTCATGCAATGAATTAAAATGACTATTACATGTTTTTTGAAAAAAGATAATTTGGAACATGGAATCTTACATTCCATCATCTGAACAGAATGTAAGAAGCACAAATTGTAACTGAAAACACTAAGAAAGGACAAAAAGCTTTTTTGCTGTATATTACCATTAGAATCCAGAATCTTGCCAGGTAGTCTAGTGAAGACTACAGACACAAAAGCATATTAGAAAATAACTACTGCAACAGATTTTTGCCAACTATTGGTTCTCTTCAATGAAGATTACTAGGAAAGTACTTTTAAAAGTACTAAAGAGGTCATGGGGGAAAAAGATGACAACCAGAAATGCTACACACAATTTCAAAAGCTCATTATCAACTTAGAAGTTCAAGAGTCTCATATTTAACCACTATCTGTAATCTTTTATTCACATAACCATGTTCCTGTTACTGAAGCATTTCAAACTCCACAGTTAAACACTAATACAGTCAACAAACCTTTGGACATTATTCTGCTGCCAAGTCAGCTGAGTGTAACACTGGTTTAACTGATGCATAATAAGATGTATTTGTGAAGATGCAACATTATTGGGCATCATGCTGTAGGGGCCTGTGAGCAAAGTCTGCAGAAGGCAAGAGAGGGTCTGTGGAAAGAAAATATGTAACAGTGACCAATCACAAAAACCAGAAGTTAGTGCTAGAAGGAATTAGAAAGAGAATAAAAGGCAAATAAGAACAGCAAAATAACAGCTCTTCATATCTACCTGCTGATCCTGCATCAAAGTCTGACAAATGCTGACACTAAATTCATGCTGTTTCTTCAACTGATTGATCTGCTCTTGCCATCGCTCCTTTTCTTCCACATAGGAGAGCTCAGACATCCACCGAAAATTTTCCTGACGCCGCATATTTATGTTTTGCTGTTGCCTGGCCTTAGACACGGGACGGTAATTTCCATCTGCTGAAAGGGGACGGCAGTTTTTCCACCTGGGGTGGGAAAATTTGAAAAATGAGGACAAAATCAGATAATTCAAACAACTAATGATACTTCCATATTGACAAACATAATAAGTTGTGCATCAAAAACTCACATGGCACAGGCCACCTAATTACACATGCCATTCTGTCAATCCAAAATTATCCTGAACAAAAAACAGGAGCTCCCCACCTGACTACGACTGTGAAAAAAGGAATGGCTATCAATGTGCCTGTGTCTTGTTTTTAGTATTTTCCATTACTGCTAACATGTACTCAATGAAAACAGAAACCACCAACATAATACGTTGACAAGTCCAGCCTCTGATGAGCCCACAGTCTACTAAAATCATTTTGGTATCCAAACCAGAAGAAATAATACATTCAGATATATACATTCTTTTTAACATGGTATTTTCACTTAATCACACAAATGTTATGAAGGAAGTCAATCAGGTAAACAGGAGTTAAAACTATTCACAATAATTAAGAAATAGTTCCCACAACTACAGAAGCCAGCAATTTAGAAGGAAAAAATTTAGAGTTAGTTTAATTCTCTGAATTACTATTTTTGAAGAGACTGATCATAGCAAAAATTTCACACATGTGATTATCTTTTAAGCTGATTAAAAAAAAAATGGGAGCATCAGAAGCCACTACCACACAACTGGAGAGCTCAATGGCAGATTTTTAGTAAGACTGAAAACAAAAGAAATCACCAAGTCAGTTATATACATTGCAGCTGCAAAGACTCAGAGAAGAAACTGCCACTAATAAGAAAGAATTTTCCTTTGCTGTGAGGATGTCCTGTAGTTAATGCAATGCTTCTTCCACCATCTTCCAAATACTCAGACAAGCATCAGATCAACAAATAAGGTTACTAACCTATCTTTGTTTCCTTTACCAAAATAGGCATTTTCTGGTATGTTGTTATTGGGATAAACAGAAAAACTGTCATTCAAACTTGATGCATCTTCTTCCTCTTCTTCTGCCTGACCAGCTCCATCAGAGAGATAACCATCTTCATCTCCATTTTCTTCCTCTAGGGCACACTGGGTAGAACCTCCCCAGGTAGCCATTGTCCTAGGGAACATTGCAGGGTCAGGGAGAAAAGGGGTGTTTGGAAAATGAGTATTTGCTTTTCAATTTTATGACAAATTATTAAAACAATCTGTTGACAATTTCAAGTCTATCTGCAATTAATCAAGTTGCACCAAAAAGAATTGAACTGTTCTAAAGATGAGCCAGTAGTGTGCCCACATGGCCAAGAAGGCCATTGGCAACCTTGCCTCTATCAGGAACAGTGTGGCCAGCGAGACCAGTGAGGTCATTCTTCCCCTGCAACAGCCACAGGTTAAGCCACACCTTGAGTGCTGTGTCCAGTTCCGGGTCCTGCAATTTAGGAAGGACTTTGAGATGCTGGACCATTTTCAGAGAAGGGCAACAAGGCTGGTGGAGAGACTGGAACACAACTCCTGTGAGAAGTAGCTGAGGGAGCCTGGAGGAGTTTTAGGGGAGACCATATTGCTCTCTACAACTGACTGAAAGGAAGGTGTAGCCAGATGGGGAGTCAGCCTCATCTCCAAGGCAATCAGTGACAGGACATGAGGACAATCTTATGCTGAGTCGGGGGGGTTTAGGCTGGACATTAGTGATTGACTGGGCATTGGAATGGGCAGTCCAGGGACATGGTGGAGTCCCTGGTGACATTTAAGGAAAAGACTGGATGTGGCACTCAGTGCCATGGTCTCATCAGCAAGATGGTTTCAGGCCATAGGTTGGACTCAATCTTCAAGGTCTTTTCCAACCCAGTTGATTCTGTGATTCTCACCAATGCAAACTGCATTCTGCTTCTAATACTGGGACAGACAAATGAAATTACTATCTGTATTGGAACTGTATTACTTTACTATGCTATAAAATGGCTAAAGATGAAAAAAAACCTACTCTGATCATTTGGCATTTTCCATGCAATTTCTTCTTCTTAGGTGTTTCTTTTCCCCACTAGTAGCAGAAAAGAGACTTAATATGCTGGGAAAACCCATAGAACTGGCAAGCTGCTAAATGACAGTCACTTCACAAGCCAAGAAATTAATTTCCTGCTCTGTTAAATCATCAGATTCAGTGGTCAGATGAACACAGGAAACTGCCCCCAACACTGACATCCTACTGAACAATGGAAGCACCCATTGATGAATACAGAATAACTTGTGCTCTTACTTCTCAGTCCTGCTCTGCTGTGGAGTACACCGAGCTTCTGACCCTTCACTTTTAACAGATGCAGCAACAGTAGATATTGTTTCTGCAAGCTCTCTCCTTCTCTGATCTTCAGCCATTAAAGCTTCAAGTTGCTTTCTTCTCTGTCGCAATTCTTCTCTTAAAATCTCATGTCTTCTCATCTCAGACCATAACTGCTTGCAGTAAAATGGAAGAATTAGAACATAATGCCAGCATAATTTCAGGAAAGAATAAGTAATATCCAGATCAATATCAAAGACAATTTTAGGGGGAAAGGTGAAGAAAGACGCAAAGATAAATCAGGTTTCAACAAATACTTTCACCATTTTCTCGAAAGATGACCCGTCTACAGTATATAGTATCAAATTTTCATGGTAAAAATTAAAAATTAATTCAACTATCACATTAATATTTAGTAACAATTGCTATATTTGGGGTAGAATGTCTTGCCAGTTCAAGTCAGTATCTCCTTTTTTCCAGAAACAAAATAAAGGAGTTATATATGTTTTGTTAAAATAGCTACTACTCCACTCCCCAGGCCACTTAAAATATGTCCAAGCAACCTGTAACTTCTTTCTAAACCCTTTTAAAGTCACAGCATATCAAGTATGGAATACCTCATTGCCTACTGGTAATGATTCATCACATTCAAATAAAGGCTTGCCAGCTGTGTTACACTCAGTCATGGCTGGAGTTGATGTTGCTTGTGAAGATTGTCTATCTGCTGGGCAGTTACCCAGCCCACCTGACAACTGAAAGAGAAAAGCAAATGGCAAAATAGAATTTAAGAGCTTTCTAAAACTTACCTGCAGTTAAAACTCAACACAGTTAAGGCTTTATGAGGCTAGAAAGTCAGTATCCCAGGAAAAGGATTTTTGAATCAAGGTTTAACATTTATTTCAAAAGTTACCTAGCAATCAATAAAACTGATGTATTATTATATAATGCTCTAGGATGCACAGTATTGATAATTTACTGCTCACTTCACAGAAGGAAGTTAAGAGCATGAAAAACAGTAAAGCCTGTAGAGTTAAGTTAAAATGCAATGAATTGTTGATCATGCACTCAAGACACAGCATCGCTCCAAAATATCAGCAAATGACTACTAAGAGAAGTAAAGAAGCAGTGACTGACCAGTATGGACAGACAAATTTCAGGCTAAAAATAAGACAGAAGGTTCTGTATCTTTGAAGACACTGTCAAGGCTTTTGAAGACAAATCACAGTGAAATCAACCACCGAACTAGAATCATTGAAAAGTGAATGACATAAGCAGAACTCTAGAACACCTGCTTACAGTATACAAGCATTACCAATTTAAGTTTTTTTCCAATTTTCATAGGGGGAAAAGGGTGAGCAAGGTATTTTTTGTTTCTTTGCTCAACACCTTAAGACAGTAAAGAAATACATTCTACCTACTTGAAGGTCAGGACAAGCTTTCTGTAACACTTGAATTTTTTCCTGGATTTCAAACAGCTTTCTTCTTTCTTCTTGTAACTGCTTAAGCTCCCGTTGCTGCTGCTGAAGTTTAGCTTCATAGAACTTCTCTCTGTGTAAATAAGTTACCCACGTGTTACTTGGCAAGAAGTTGCCTAAAGCACAGCTCTCCCATCCTCTGACAAAGGCATACCTTGCTTTCTCATTCAGTCGCACATCTTTTTTTAACTTGTTGGAACTTGCTCGGACATTGTTTGGCTGCTGCTTTGTCTCTTCCCCCTCACCCAACAAGTCACCAATATTAGATTCATTTGCAATTGCTCCTTGAGGTTCTGGATCATCACACTAAAAGGATGTCAGAAAGGCAGACTATTTTCAAGATGATTAAAAAAAAAAAGTAACATATCTAGTTTGTCAAGTTTGTCTGGTTTGATTTTTTCAAAACTAATCAGTCTGAAGAGCTTTATCTTCAGCACAAACCAAGAACTGAGAAGTCATTATCACTATGGCATCATGACTTGAAGATATATTGAGTTAATGAGAGAATTTAAAGTTATTTGACTCAACCTGAACTACTGAAACTTCCACTCTAAATGTAAATAATTTGTCCAATTCTTGAAGCATGAAACACTTGCCTGTGACTCAGTGGACAGAAACATACAAGCATATGAAGAAAGAATAAGGAGGAACAGAAGGAGACTGAGGTGAACAACACTGCCTATTTACTTCAATCAGTGAACCTTAATATTAACAATAACTACTCTTGAAAACTAAATCTGAAATACTTTGGAGAAAGTCTTATTGGTTTTCTATTCTGCTTTTATTTTTTTCATAATTTCTGTATTTTCAGTTCTTAAACTGAAAATGTGAAAGCTGTACCCACTGCTGCTTTGGTTTTCCAATGTAATCATGCTCCATGAAGACTCTGCTGAACAGGAGAGACCACTGGTGACCAAGAATGGCACAGCTCACGGGCCTACTGTATCTTGGACATTACATACACATAACAAGCCTTGAAAATATGATTGAAGATATGCCATTAATTAGGCTACTTATCAAGGAAGCTGCTGAATCATCTCTAATTCTGATTCATACCACTGCACAGTTAGCATCTCTATAGTGATGATAAAAAACAACACTGATCTAGATGCTGAGAAATAATACAGGAGTATGATATTGAAATAACAATATTGTGTTTATACTGTTCTATTGTCAAACATAGGTTCCAACTGAGCTTGATTTTAAGCCTTTTCATTTCTGATACACCTCTGTGTATTCAGTATGCAGACATTACAGCAGATGGTGATCAAATGTGCGCATTCTGAAGGGACATTAGATCCATGACATTGTGCTGCTAACATCACTAGATAAGCATGAGATATTCTAAATTAAAAACACTCCCAACTTACAGCTGGCCCTCAAAATTCTTAAAATAAATAAAACCACTGCCTCCAATCCAAAATACTGCAAGTCAAATATATTGCAACATCCAAAGATTTTAATGAAAAATGTTCCTCGTTGATTGAACAATGTCATAAAATCTAGGGCTCAAAAACCTAAACGTGTTGAATGTTCTGTATAATCTTAAAAATGTCTAATATTTAAAAAAATAATACTGATCTACTTCTTGGTTTGTATTTCGTAATCCAGTGCTAAAGTTAAAGACCACTGTTTCTTAGGCCGGCATCCTCCAAGAAAATCCCTGAATTGAACCTCAGAAGTGGCACCTTTGAAATCAGAAAAATCCAACTGTATCTCTTTTTCCCTAGACTACAAATAAGCATTTTAAATGTTCCATTCCGCAGTTTTTCCCTATCAGAAGGTACAGATAACACGAAACAATGAAAGCTAAATTTTTGTGCACAAGTTTGTATTTATAACATACCTGCACCATAGCAGCAAGGTTTTGTAACTGTCTAAGCTTCTGTTTTGCAGCTATAAGTCTATTGATCTTCTGCTCAAACTCGGCATCTCCAGCCACATCACCCAGGCTGCTTCTGTGACTAGACATGGAATCTTCACTAACTCGATCTTCTTCCACTTCATCATCTTCACCTTGGGGTAGATCGAGGTGTTTGTCATTCTCCCTATTATGACAGTCTGGAATAGGGAGAGGAGGAAACAAAACAATACCAAAGACACATTACTGAACTTCTGAAGTCCACTGTAATTACTGGATATTAGAAAAATATTAGCTTACTGATAAGGCTCTTGAATACTCTGCTTATCAAACAAGGGTCTCCCAAATGCTGTGCAGCTATCAGAGTTATTTGCACTAAGAAGTAAAATTATTGGAAGATTTTAGAACATACCTAAAGCAGAAGACATTTTTAGAGTCCTTATATTAGCAGCAGATCTGTTGTTTATTTCACAGTCTGTATTAAGATGTCTTCCATCTCTGTTATTAGTTCCACACTGTACATTTGAGTTGCTATTTATTTCACTCCAACTACTGATTCCTTGAGGGTTTCTAGGGTGAAATAAATTACTCATGTTAACTTTTTAAAAACTGGTATAGATACAATTTTCCTTCAGTCTTTTTCTACCTATCTTTTTTATAAATAGGTGTTCTGACCACTCCTCCTAAAAAAACCCAACAAAACCCCCAAATGAACAAACAAACTCCAACCCCATATAAAATCCATCCAGACACTGGGAGGTTTTCCATATTCATCTCTCCAACAGATTGTTTAAAAAAAAAGTAATCAAAGCAGCTTTAAATTATCCCCTGCTAGATCTGCAACAATACATTAGGTCTTACAGGTATATGTCTACATTATAAAAGCTTTATATGATGCATAGCTGAGTGACTGTTCATTTCTACCAGGTGAAGATCCTCAATGCACACAGGTAAACTGTAGGGTTTTTTCCCCCAATTCTCTGGTCTAAGACTGTAATCTTCTAGTGAAATTCCATACACATAATTCAGTACTTAAACCCAAAGGAATTTCAGACTTTTGAAGTCTTATAGTGATTTTCTAGATGTTCATGCTAATCTAAATAAATAAGACACCAAGGATTAGATAATTATTAAACATCTGTGTAACAGTCACCTTGAATTTAAAAAAATCTGTACTTTTGTTGATGTAATAAGCACAGATTTAAGTTACTTCTGTTGACTCAAATAAAGTATTGCAGGTTTCACGAAGCAACAACTCAGCTACAAAGACTTTGGATAACAAAAAATACAACAACCTAATATTTGTAACAGGCTGTGGATGCTCATGTTCAGAATCACTTTCTGATTCTTCTGTTTCTTCCTCCTCCTTAGTGTTTTCATTCACAGCATCTGTCATCATATCAGATGTCTGCTCATAGTAGTGAACTAATTCACGTAACTCATTCAGTCTCTTACGAACCTCATTTAGCTTCCTGAGGAGGAAAAAAAGAGTATTTAATCTGTTTTGCTGTATTATGCTAATCAACGTAGAGTTAAAAAGAATATATATACTCTAAAGTTCTTAGAAGTTAGTGTCAGATTTCAAGAACTTTACACTTGAAGCTCTGAATTCAGTTAACTGTATTAAATTGTTTACTAAGTAATCTGTATTACTAAATTAGGTAGATGAAAGAATGGAAATAGTTACTTAACACAAAACTTATTAAAAAAGTAATACTCCAAATTACTAAAGCAACACTGAAAAAAAATTAAAGAACTTTTACTGAAGCTTTTCTGTTGGATTTAGATTTTCGTCCTCTTCACTCTCATTCTGAGAAACCAGGGAATCAGGAGGATAGGGAGCAGGTGCCAGACTATTTGGTTCACCATTGACGACAGTTACTATGCCTACAGGACCAGAAGCAGCTGAAGTTGTACTTCTTTGATCAACACTCCTTTGAGGAGAACCTGAAGCAGGAAAAACTACAGAAAAGAAATACCGCTTATGTGAACAATTTGTAATAAGGAATCTGCTTAACTGAATTATATTAAAATAACAACAGAAAATATTATCAATAAACGAAAGAGCAGTTAATAACTTCTTTCCTTGGCAAAACAAAAACTTTTTTCCTAAGTTTCGTTGCATGCAATGTCAATAGGCAGTGAGTAATAAGGTGGCTTGTGTAAACAAGATTTCAGTTATTCCCTTTTAGCTTTATCAAATGTCAGAAGTAGAAACTTTCATGCTGTGAATCTGCCCATAGAGATTTTTCAAGGTTTTACTTAGGGCTACATTGCTTTTTTATAAAAATTTAACATTTTAGAAATTTGATCAAAAGAAAAATCCTAGCAAATTTTTCACCTCTGCTAAGTTCTTTTGTCCATTTGCTGTACAACAAACTGGATGTTTGCTTCTTCTGGCTACATGAAATCATATCCAAATATGTTCATATTATATGCACTAAATACATACAGAAAAATTGGGCTACAGTAACATAACTATTAAATCAGCATGTCCTTCTCCAATTGCATGCTTCAAGGCCTCATTTCTCAATGCTAACCAGAATATGCTGTGATCACCCCTCAGAGGTTTTCAGCCACAGGACAAATGTCACCAGTACAAATGCATTGTTAGAAACAGAGAGCGAGAGCAGCAAGTGCACAGGTCTGCATGAATAAGCAGAGCACAAAGCCATTAAAAGAAAAAGCCAAAGCTCTACTCCAGTCAGACAGGTAAGGCCCTCTAGAATGGTCTGTGATTGAAGCCCCTGCCATGAGAGCACATGAAAGCCTTTTGACAGATATTGCCATATTGCCATAAAGCCACCAACACATGAAGTGCTGAGTACACAAATGCAAACATATTGTGATAAAAACACAAAGCTCAAGTTCATGGGGCTCTTTTTTTCACAAGCCAGAAGTGTCACACACAAGCATCACAACCTCACATTAGTCAACTTCAGTGTTATAAACGAAAGTGCTAACAGAGTCATAATCATTAAGTGCTAAGACACTATCATCATTACTTGTAGAGTTTTTTTGTTAAGACAGAAACTTATACAGCATTAAAAACCATTTATATTAATAGTGCCCTAGCACAGTTTTCATCACCAGCATTTCACTGACCAATTGCAATCTCAAACACATTACAAAACATGCACATTTAAAACATGGTATTCATGAAAAAATATAGTTCTGTCTATAATGACTTACAGGAAGAGTTGTTTAGATGTTGATCACGAAGTGTATGAAGTTCTCCTAGGAGTTTGTCCATCTTTTGCTTTTTACCCTGCAACATTCGCATCTTGTTAAAAAGCTGTGCCTTCTCATCTGACTGGTGTTCAGACATTGAAGAGTTTCTGCTTTGTGAAATCTCTCTGGTAAGTGAAAGGCTTTCTGCTTGCCTTCTATTGTCAGGCACAGACTGTGTCTAAAAAGAGTAATTCCATTTTATTCAGAGTACTACAAAAAAAAGGTCAATAAACTGTAAGAAACAAAAAGCTTTCCATGGGCCTTCTATATGCAACACCAGAATCAACACCAAAACAAAGACTATTATAAAGGGAAATATACTGAAAACACTCTAATGACATCCCAATAATATAGTGAGTTAATAATTACATTGCAATAAAGAAACTACTTCTCTAGACTTTAATGGAAACCCATGAGACACAAAGCATAGATCCGTCAGCTAATAACCATTAGGAATTTTCAAGTTTGCTGAGTTTTCAAGTTTGGGGGGAGTTCTGATAACTTCAGTAGCAAATACACACAGATGAGCAAGACAAACATGGAACTGCACTGTTAAACAGAATAAAAACTGATAATGGCAAAATCTATACAGTACAATCTCAGGACTAACCTGAGAATCATGAAGTTGGTTGTGAAAGCGTTGAATTAAGTCATTCAATTCTTCATTCAGTTCTGATGTAAGACTTACTCCTGAAACACTACCTGTAGTTTCTGTTACAACTGGGCATACAGAAAAAGGGGAAAATATAAATATTTTTCCACAGAAATAAAATAAAGGCTATTTGAATAAAAATGTGTGGTTTAGCAACATCAACATACTGACTCTCTAAAAATACAGCATATATTTTTAATTTTGTGTCCTTTCCACCAGCTTTACTCTTGAAAGATGACTTATGCTACAAAAATACTAACATGACAACTCAGAGCTGCTTTGTAAGGGACCATACAAAACGACTTTAGCCTTGCTCTGTGTTTTGCTAAAAAGGTCAGAGCAAAATGACAACACCCATTAGTCCAAGGCTGACAGAAACTTATTAGAAATAAAACTGCAATTATTTAATATAGCTAAAGTAACAACAGTGCAGGTAATTTCACTTTCTCAAAATAATAAATTAACAGTACACCAAGCTTTCACATTGGTGTAAGTTGCAATATTTACAGCTGCAAATGGTGCCTTGGAAGCTTGTTCTTCAAGAAGCTTTAAGAGAGAATTAAATTTAAAAGAAAGCTTTTTGCCTTTGCCTCAAAGTTCATATTCAAACAACACTAAATATGCTAGCAGCAGTTGAAAGATCCAAATTATTCTATTTTCCCCCCAAATACAAACCAACAGCTCGTAAGAAAGTCAAATACAAATATTACTTATTTTCCCCAGAGATTATGACTCCATTACACACATAGTAAAGTTTCACTGTTTTCAAATTTCAAAAACATTTATTTTGCCATAAGTTGAATTTGAATCTTATCATTGAGTAGACCAATTCTTAGGAGAAAAACTCATGGTTTTAAGATTTTACAGGTAAACCACAATAATCAGTGCCGGGTTTTTAAATAACACGTCATTTTACATTGTCAACTCTTCAGAAACAGAGGCTTTGAAATAAAAAAGCCTTTTTAATGTGTATTTCACAATTCCAGCTTTAATCATTCAGTCAGCATGCTAACATGCTATAAGAGGCATCATCATTCCACATACCAGAATCATCCAGGACAGCAATGGCTTGTTCTGCTTTATGCTGCAAAGCAAGAAGAGCTGCCTGTCTTCCTTGAAGAGCCTTTAATTCCTCCTGCTGTTGTAGCATCCTTTTCAATAAATCATGCTGTTTCTTCAAGTTCTCCAACTCTTCTTTAGCTTCCTGCTGAGGATCTCTGGCCTGCAAGAGATGGAGCAACATTACCATAGCTACAACCATTTATCTGCTGAGAACAAGTAAACGAAGTGCCAAAGGAAGAACAACTTGCACATAAATTAACAGCCTGATTAATGGAAAAAGTAAAAATGAAACAGCTCCACCTTTCTGATAGTTCTTTATTTAAAAAAAACCTCAGACATCCAACAGGAAGAAACCTGTACCACCAAAAGGTGCTTATAGCTCCAGAGGGTTTAAGTTTTCTTTTTCTTTACAAAGCCAGTCAGCTGCCCTAATGTGACCCAAAGGCTAACCAAAGCCTGCCTCTGTCTTTTAAATCATAACAGAGGGTATTAACCTTAAGACTGTTGAAGGTAAGCAAGGTAAGGCATTGCATCATGGAGCTATAAAAAACACAAGGTATCAATTGATTTACTGGCCTAAAATCTCTACAATTTTCAGAATCATGTTTTGGGCACTATCTCATTTCTAACCTATAATGTCTTTAGTTCTGTGTGCTGTACTTATGGCATTGATACTAGAATACATCAGATTTGGGTAAATCAATTTCATAACAAAAACAGGCATAGAACCCTGTCTACATTGTTTTCAAACAATATTTTGAAATAGTTCTGAAAGAATGAAAGCATGCTGAGCAGTTAAAATATATTAAAACTCAGACATTTTCCTCATCCAATGCTAATTAGGACCTGGAGATTTGCATCAAAACTTTTACTCAAATTAAGTATTTTAACAATGAGACATTAGTTAATATCCTTATCCTGTCTGAAGTTGCCTTATGGCACTTTGCACATGAAATAATGGAAAATAACAAGCATCTAAAAAGAACACTACTAAATTGAAAGCATAATCTTCTATCCATATAGTATTAAGTTTCTAAAGTAGAAAATTCAGTCCAAATATTCTGCATCAAATGTCAGATTAGAAGCAGGAATCTTATGAACTAGTTCTGGGTTCTAGGGAATGCTCAACTTTCCAGCAGAGAAAGCTGAAAACATCCAGAATTCTAAACTCAAAGTGTCAGTAAAAGATGCAGTGCAACTAACACTGATGATTGCTGTTTAACCCTCACCTTTCATATAAACAGCAGAGTAGAGTCCAAACAGATCACACACTGAAATCAGCACAGGAAGGAACAAGGGGAAGAAAGGGAACAAGGGTGTATGTCTCAGCCTCACTCACCTATGAAATAATCCAGGCTTTATCTAAAGTACCAGATTTGCTTGAGTTCATGAAAACTTCATTTAACAAATTTTTCAAACTTAGTTCTACATTTAGACTAGTAAGCTTGACAAAACATTTAAGTCTTTTATTTTTGGGGAAAAAATGATTGAAGACTTTTTTAAAAATTAAATCACAGGAAGGACAACAACATAAACAAGCTCATAATGGGTAAAAAAAGACGCTTTAGAAAGTTTTCAAGACATCTTGAAAGTTTTCCTCCTTCCAACTAAATATTGGTATCAACAGCTACAGAAAAACACTTGTGGAACAAGTTAAGGCTATTTATTTCTAATTTGTCTTCTGTATTTGGTATTAGTTTAAATGTGCATTGGCAGACCATTAGTGTAACCATGACAAGTGTCTGAAAGTCACATTTACAATATGTTTTCCCAAGAAGGGAACAACAAAACTTAGAAGGATGATCTACATAAAATCATAAAACCTGCTGTACAGAGTTACATCAATTCTAACTTTCAATGCTAACAATTCAGAAGAAAAAACTGTGAAACATTTCTATTCAAAGAAAAAATATTTGAGGCCAAGAAGACCAATTAATGAAAAGACAGCTGGATACAGATAAGCAATCCAGTGGGAACACTGACTGTAAGTAACAAGTACATTTGAAGCAATTAATAAGGGAGGTAGGGGGATGGGGAAGACTAGCCTGTATAAATCCTATTTGAGGCTAAAGTAACATTTTGAAGTGTACCTTTGAAAGCAATCCATGATCCTGGCTATTAATCCCACAAGGCCAGATTTCCCTGCCATTCAGAGCAGCTCTCTGTCTTTTCCCTTTGGGGCTTGGTGTAACATCAATGTCTGTAACCTGTTCTCCTGCAGTTGAATTCCCTAGTTTGTCCTCAATGCGGGGCCGACAACTCAAACTAAAAGATACCTCCTATATTGAATAGTTTAGTATGTTAGAATGTGAAAACGCACTCCAACTTAGCATACATTTTTAAGTTACAAACCTACCCACTTTATCTTGTCAAATAATGAAAACTAGTGTCTAATAACATCTACTAAAGAGTGAAGACAATTTTAGTCATTCTTAGAATTTGCACAACAATAAAGCTCCATACAGCAATCAACATTATACGACCAGAATTATGCACTCTGCATGAAAACATTCAAGCTGCATGTAAAGAGAGCTTAGATGCAAAATTAAGAGCCAAATAAAAAAATCAGCGCAAATTTTGCAAATATTGAGACAACTGCAAGCTTACATGGACACTTCTTAAAAAACATACCTGTCTTTTTCTGCATTTTCCAAATTTAATTTTTTTGAAGTTAAAAGTGCATCTTCCATGTCTATCATTAAATTTCCTTACAGACATAGAAAGGGTTCTTATAAAGCTAAAAATAATTACAAAAGCTTCTTAATGTTTTAACTGTTTTATTTCCAAGCAGGTAAATTCTCCTTATCCATAGGAGATTCAGTGTGCTAACTGGCAAAAAGAGTACCTGCTCTCTGGTACATTTCCTCAGTGCAATAGAATTGAAGACACAAAACTTAAGCTATTAAAATGCCCTTGTATCTACTATAAGATATATTTACCACGTTAAAAAAAAAGCTTTTATAAATAGAAAGGAAGATTGGGCTGTTTATCTCAGCACTAAACTCAGAACACATTTTCTGAGGAGGTGCCCATCTTCCCAAAAAATGAGAGAAACTTCTGTGTTAGGTCAATACTTCTATCTTGTCACTAGAAAGATGCTTGGACAATGGCCCATTACTGATACATTTCTAACTCCCCCCATTCCCAATACCCAAACTTTCCCCACTAAAAGAAACAGACCTAGAGATGAAAAATTGTATATAAAGGTATTTCTTCCTACAACAAGTGAGTTCTCTGACAAAGTACATGTTCAACTCTTCATCGTACTTTGAGGAAAGAATAAAGATTTAAAAGATTCTTCAGATTGCTGTTGTGACAGAATCATTACTTTTTTTTCATATTAAGAAAATAAATCCACACATGCATGGACACCACCTTAATGGAACGCTTGGGGATTTACTATTTTCAAATTGAACTGCAGATTATGACACTATCATAAGACCCATGAAAAAACCAAAATAAAGCCTTAATTTCTACCTTAATTGCTAAAAAGCAGCTTACCGTGGTATCTGAAGCCTCAGACTGCACATCAATGTTTAGCGATGTGCTCTCACCTACAGAACCAGATCCCACAGCTGAATCTATAGTCCGAACATCATCCTCCTCATTTTCTCTAGCCTGAAATATTTCATTGGCACAAATCAAAAGCTATATAAGGGGGCAGCAAAAATGAATTATGGAAGGCACTACATACCAAAATCAACACCCTCAGTAGCACCATCAAAACATAAACGGTCAACTCCTAAAAAAAGCTTACAGTGCAGAAACAAACATATTATGTTCTCAAACTTACAAGCATCTTTTGCAAAAATTTCAGATAGGATTTCTCCTGCTCTTTAAGGTCATCTATAAGGTGCGATAAACGCTCAACATTGGCCGATCTCTCATTTTTCTCTACAAGATCATCCCGCATGGAGCTGGCCTTAGCAATATAGTCGCGAATCTGAACTAGTCTGCTCACAATCTGCAAAGACACCGAAGTTACTGAATGCATTCAGCTACAACTGCAATGTATTCAATGCACAAGACAGTGATAGCAACAGCAAAGGAGTAATGAAAGGGAGACAGGTTAGTACTTTCACTCCTCTGAGCGCTCTTCCACAAGTGGTTAAAAGTCAACAGCCTTTATAAGAACAGATTTATGCATGCGGGAAGTTGCAAGGCTGAAGCATAGGGCTTCTGGTCAACACAGAAAACACAACTGAGCTCATCAATGCAGGAAAACAGTCAACTGTGAGAGCACTTTCTGGAGCCACATAAAAGGGAACCAACCTCTAAAATGAAAATTATTATTACTTCTGTTACCAACAAGCAGATTTCTAAAGAACAGTAGATTATTAAGTCTGGTTTCATGTTTTCTTCACATTTCAGAAGAGCAGAAGTTAAATATTTCCAATAAGAATTTATACTTCAAAGAAGTTTAGAAAGCAGCACTGAGGATTAAGAGTCAATATTTTGCAGACTTTATAGGTTGTGTAAATACCTGGCTACTATCCATCGTTTGTTCTCCCCTTCCATCTTCTTGAGCAGATGTTTGACAATTTTGCAAGAAATCCTTGCTTAGAGCAGCTCCAAACAACTCTTTACATTGCGCTGATACCCCACCTTCCTTTTTTTGGGAACCTGAGGCAGGATCTTTGCTTTTGTTAGTGTTAATCTGTAGTGACAGGAAGTTGAATGGTTTCTTGTTCTCGTTAAGTTGACGTTTGTTATTAGCAGCCGTTGCCCTGCCTTGCGAATCACTTCCAATGCTTCTCTATATACAAACAAAAGCAAGAAAAATTGCTTTATTTTTTCATCCAATATGTTCTCAACACTGTTTTTTTTTCACTGCTTGTATTGCTATTCCTACAGTATTATTAGACTGATTTTAAAGTTACCTAATCAGTCATCAACTGGCCAAAAGTTAGCTGAAGACAGTGCCAATAATTTTTTGTCATAAAATCTTCAGAAAGCAAATCCATCCTCCCAGAACAATGAGAACCAAAAACATTTTGTAGTTTCTCAGCATTTAGTTCCTCATTTTGCTGTGAACTCGACCTTTACTGTAGCAAAAGGCAGTTTACTTCTCCAGGTACACTTGAGAAAAGAAGAGTAATAAAAGAGTAGCATATTCCTGTGCAGAACATAATACCTCAAAACTTCAGCTTTTCTTTAAAACCTTGTGAATAGCAACATGTTGCCATAACATACATTTGAGCAGGAAGTTTTGTCCAGCCTTTAAACTGTAAATCAGCACAATAAATCACACTGGAAAGAACCATCATAACCAAAGAAGTTAGCAACAACCTTTAGTAATGATGAACTAGCCTCTGTTCTGAAATTGTTAGCACAAATTTATGCCTTCTTCCAAAAGACTCAATCCCTCATATTTTTCCTTAGCTTTGGAAAAGGGAAGGATGAATGTGCTGTATTTCCAAAAAAGTAGTTTTGGCTCAAGAATTTGTGCCATAAAATTCTCTGCTCTACTGAGGAGCATTTTTTAATGATACTCCTCTGCTTAATCCACAAGGGCAACAATGTTCAGGATCACAAACCGGCAGTTTGAGAACAGATTTTCAAAATACAGTAACAGCTATTTTCAGGTAGCACACAAGTATGATGAGTAAGAAATACTGCTCTGAGGACACATGAATTTTATAATGGCTGAGAGCAAGAAAGTGAAGACAGCTACCACATAAACAGAGGAAAGCCACAGTCCTGAACTTTCTCTTATTTCCTGAAGTTCAAAACCAAAATTTTGATTTGGTTGTCATGGTGCCTATAGGTTTGGTTTTTTTTACCTTCATTGCTTATGAAAGGATTCTGTACTCATCTGTCACTTTATTAAGCGATAACTGAATACATTTTGGAGTCACATTTCAGTGGGAGCCAGTATTCACACAAACCTGATCCAGATCACTGAAGTTTATTCTTTGTTTAAGCCTTTCTAGTTCAGCCTGCTCTGGAACAGACATCTGAGTCATGTATCGAGCATGAGGAAAGCCGTGAGTTCTGGTCTTCCGTCGCTCCATTCCAGGGGAAGATTCTGGAGATATGTCATTAGTAAGTCTTGTTTCACCTTCCCCACTAAGCTTTTTCTTGTTTTTCTCTGAAGATCTGTTTGCTTTCTTCTGTTGACCTCCCCAGTCCTTAAGGGGTAGGAGAGAGACAAAAAATAGTACTTGTTATCCACCCAGACAAAAAGCAAATGTTTGCATTCTGTGATAGAGTTTACTTCCATTTTAGAAGTAAAAATAGCAAGCCACATTACAAAGAAGTAAAAATAGCAAGCGACATTGAAGTAAGCACTAAGTTTTCTAGAGCAAACGTCACTTTACAAAATAAAATTTTCTCTACTGCATAATTAAAAATAGCTTATCAGGAAATTTTAAATCCATTTCATCCTAAATGCATTAAATTAACTTCAAATGAAGCTCAAGTTGTATTTTTCTTCTTTGCTGGGGACTTCACTTTCAGGAGTTCAGAACATTTTAAACTCTTAGTGAAAGCTATTTTAAATAGTTTTCACTTTCCTGTCACCTACAATGCTTTTGTGTCTAGCTACTTTATTTACCCCAAACACTTGCCATAAATACCCCTTAGACCTCACAATCTCTGAATTATACCCATTGCTCCCTTACATGTACCTCAGGTTTTCCAGGTAAAGCTGCACTGGATGCAAAGCCATGCATGATGAGGCTTAGGGGTTTGCATCATTACCTGCCACTAACAGAATCTAGCTGGTAATTCTAATGTCCAGCACCAAATGGCAACAAAAAGAAAAGAAGAATTTTACTGTGTTGTTCAGCCGGTCGTCAAGGCTCTCATTGCTCCAGCTGGGCAAGCCCTGGTCATTCATGCCTTCTTCAAAGGGACCACCTCCTGCTGCCATGACAAGTGATCAATAAAAGCAATCTATAAGGAGTTGAAAGAAATGTGCTGTATTAAAATCAGTTTATATAGAAAATTTTCAAGATTCATGATCTGAGACAACTACATATTCATTATATGATAAAAACAAAAAGCTGTTTAGGAAACTAAACTCCCCATTTACTACGCTCTGTTACTAGAAATGTATCAATGAGAAGAACACAGAAACTGGCATTAAAAAAATAAAGGAATAGTAGTTGTGAGTTCAGGGCTTTTTAACCTCTGGTCTATGAAAGAAAGATTTGGGGGTTTTCTGAGGGTTTCAATTGTCCTTACTTTAACACAAACTGTAGAGTGCTCAGAAAGACTGCTTTGTAATTCATAAAGCCTACACTTGCAGACCCAGGATGATGTCTATTTGATACAGTAAGTGACTCTGGAGATCCAAAATGTCAAACTTTCACATCCATTTTAATACTGAGATAATGAAAACAGAGTACTGAATGACACACTTGCAAAAATACACGGAAGACAGATGTCAGTACAAGGATTTTTACTTTCATTACCACACATTAAGCTATTTTAGCAGTGAATGACCTGCCACAAACATTACAGATTCTACTGAAACCAAACAAAACCATGAGTTTCATAGAGCTTAGCTGCTCTCCATCAGGGTCACTCTGTGCAATATAAAGTAACTTAAATGTTTGAAGTTTTCATTTTCACTTCTTGTTTTGACATTAGAACTAAAAAAAATTGTTAAAGCTGAAAGATCAGAAAAGTATTCCTTTATGAGACCACAATTAGATTAGTCTGTTCCAAAAGGTGAAGAACATGTAACTAACTATATTTGCTAAGTGCTGCTGGCACAACTGCACTGCAGAAATGTACAAAATTTAACTAAGAACTGTAACAGATGCAGAAGAAAAGCAGTCTTGCAGAGATTTACTTTTTCCAGCTCGTTTCCACCACGATGTTAGGATGTGACCCTAAGCTTCACTGAAAAAATATAAATATAGAAGTTGATAGGAACCACTTTCTCAACATTTTACTGCAACTATCTACTAATTTTCACAGAGTGCAGGTGAAGAAATCACCCAAAACTAAAGAATGCAAAGTATTTAAGAAGTTTGTTGTTTTTTTTAATATCAGTTCCAGAAAGGAAAACAGAAATCTTGAACTACATTTAAAAGCTGTCCTAGCACATCTATCTTGCTTAGGTATAGGATTCAATCAAACTCACAGAGTACAGCCCTCTCCAGAGGCACACTCACCAGGCAGTATTCCCATGCAAACACAGCCAATTACTAAATCACAAAGGAAATGGGATCTAGCAGGCATGCTCCTCACACCATAACCGCATCTCCACTGGGCAGCGTGCCAGCCTAGGCCATGGTAACAGTTTGGAGTCATTCCTCTTCTGCAGCTCTCAACCACAACACACAGAGAACAGGTGCAGGGGCCTCTGCCTTGGCAACTCTGCCCTACTGTCCCTGCACAAGGACTCACACTCCCTTCTTCATCCCAACAGAGGTGCCCACTAGGCCATGCAACCACAGGGTACGTCCTAGAAAAGTGCACAGGGAAGCTCATGCTAAAACTTACAAGCATCCAAAGCAAATGCATAGCTATCAGTCCAAAAGCAGCCATGATTTTAATGAACTATCTCCAGTTACAGACAAACTGCTCAGCTTTGCAGATGTGTAAGACCCAACATTTCAACAGACACTGTATCCTGACCTATGTCACTGAGCATTATGAGGAAGATTAGAGGCCATCTGGGTTTACAGTCCAATTCTCTAAGCTGTTTCCTCATCATCACGTTATATAATTCTACTAAAACCATAGCAAAAGTAGTTTTTCCCTATCTTCCACTCTAAGAAGTGGCAGTATTCATCTCTACATAATACAAGTAACTACTCACATTTATTTCTTCTAAAACTTTCACAAAACCTGTTCTCAACTGTCTTTGCTGCAGGAGACTCCATTACCTCCAAAGTAATTTCACAGCCCCAGATGGAATATTGTGAATTACAGGACTCTGGAATATTGTGAATTACAGGATTCTCAAGCAAGGAGACCCAGCATACACCAACATGCCCTGACAAACACGGCTCAAAAACTACATTATCTTCATTATTTCCAGCAAATGGATTTTAAAGTGTTCCAACAGAACCATCCCCTTACCAAAAAGCAAGTTTCTAAATATTCCTATTATATAGCCTTTGACACCTCCAAATGAACTGTAATCAAGCAAGTTTAAGATCAGAGAGTTCTGATGGTCTATTACCTCTTTAACTCAGTTGAAAAACACAGAGAGGTTCAGCTAGGTTTTTGTTTCTTTCACATGAAGCTGTTCTTTCCACCTCCACATGTACATTTCACCAATATACATTTTTTTATTTGTTTTCATTTTACCAGCTATTTCTACAAAAAAATCCTCTTCTAAAAACTTTGCTATCTTCCCACTATCTACCTGTCTGCCTACAGCAACCAATTCCTAATTTCAGGTTCTTGCAAGTCATAGGATCTGTACAAAAGCTTTTGAGCATGTGCCTACTGCCTTACAACATTTACCAGGGACTTGAGAAAAAAATACGACTTTCAACTATACCTTCTACAGAAATTATAACCTCAGATAACATGCAGAATTATAGGTAAAACACGTAAGACAAGAGTCAAAACATTCTGCACATGTATCGGGACGTGTAGATTGCACACAAGAAACACTACTTAACACACAAGCAAAACAAAGGTATGTACTTCAAAAGGCTTTTCCTACAGTAAAGATGCTCTTGAGAATTTTTTCCCGTAGCATTCATGTGAATGCAGGAGCTCTCCAGAGCACCCAATACTGCGGAGAGGAAACTTCTGACAATCAAAAAAAATTAAGCGGAAAACAGAAAATCACAAAAAGCCATCTGAGCACCATAAAGCCTGAAAATGGGGCCAAATACTTCCTTTTAAGTTTAGCTTTTTAAGACGTGCACTCCTCACTGGGCATTAACTCCCTAAAAGCAAACCACACAGTATCATCAGACAGGAGCAGTCAACAGAGCAAATCCTCTCCTGCCGCAGCGGCCAGCGCTCACAGGAGCCGCACACACACACGCCGGCTCTGGGCGGTGTGTCCGGCACTCACAGCTTCCAGCGCCGGGGCCTCCGCAGCGCCCGCGGGCTCCGCCGTCCCGACCCGCTGCGATGCCAACGGCAGGCGCCGAGCGCAGGCCCGCCGGCTCTCGTCGCCGCCAGCGGGGCCGGCTCCGGAGCGAGCGACGGCCCGGCGGCTCTGCCGGCCGCGCCGCTCACTGCCTGAGGCGGGCCAGGCGCTCCCGGCCCGGGGGCGGCGGGCAGAGATCCCGCTCCTTCCCGGCGCCAAAGCCCGGGCGCCGCGGGCTGCGTGGGTAGGCGGGCTCTGCTCAAGGCGCCTCCGCTGCCGCGAACGCGGCGGCGTCTCCTTGGAGAGCGGATAACGCGCCCTGCCCTGTGCGAGGGGCGCGGCCCGCACAGCCCGCCGCTCCCGCACGGTTTCCCCGCCGCCCCGCACCTGCCTCCGAGCCCACTGGCTGCCCCGAGCCCCGACCCCGGCGGGCCGCCGCCAGAGGGGAAAGGAACGGGGAAAGGGCAGCGCGCCGCGCCAGGGGCAGGAGAAGGCGGCTCACCCCGCGCCGGAGGGGAGGTCACCCGGCCTGGCTCCTCCTCCACCGCCGACCGCCACTCGCGGGGCCCGGGCTGCCCGGCCGAACGTTTCGCCTTCGGGCGGCGGAGGAGCGGCGCGGCCTCGCTTCGCCCGAAGCGGCGGGACCGGGCTGGCCGAGGCGCTCACGACGCTGCTGCCTCAGCCACCGCCGCCATCTTGGCCGCCACTCCGCCGGGGGCGCGGGGGGCGGTTCCAGGCGGAGGGATACAGACACAGACGGACAGACAGACACTCACCGTTACCTGGTAACCTCCGCCCGCCCATGCCCTTCCGCACTGCGCGCGCCCCGCCCGACCCGCACCGCGGAGCGCCCGAGGATCCCCCGCGCAACCGCCGGGGCGGTCGGGAAAACAGCGGTGGGCGAAGAAACTCCAACTCCCAAGGTGCATTGTGCGGGGGGCGCGGCGCCCCAGGGCCCACGGCGGTGCCTCCTGGGAGCGGTAGTTTTCCACTCAGGGCACGGCCCCGCCCCATGGCAGGACTGGGGCGCGTCCAGCGCTGTTGTGTGGCTGGCGGGGAATCGCTGAGCATGTTTTTCTTACAAAATGAAATACGAAAACGGCGATGCTATAAATGCTTTTGCCTGATTGGAAGACAAGTAAAATCATGTCGAAATCCTAAGCGTGGACGAGGATCAGTCTTGCCCTCGTTTGGAGCAGTTTCGACTGCTCTGTTCCTGTCAACCTATGGTGTGTTTTGCTCCTTAACTTGTGGCAGATAGATGGAGTTCACGCATCTAGGTTCTTTATACTTTACACTTTACTTTGGGGGGAAAAAATATAAATAGAGGGTTTGGCATTTAAAAAACTATAGTTGTGCATAAAAGCCTGTGTGCTGTGCTTGATATTTAACTGAAGTTAAAGAGAATCACAGAATATGCTGAGTAGGAAGCGACTCTTTAAGATCCAGCTCTTGCCCTGCACAGGACACCCCAAGGGTCACACCCTGTGTCCGAGAGTGTTTTCCAAACGCTTCTTGAGCTCTGTCAGGCTTGGTGCTGTGACCACTTCCCTGGGAGCCTGTTCCAACCACCCTCTGGATAAAACACTTTTCCTAATATCCAACCTAAACCTGCCCTGATGCAGCTTCAGGCCCTGTCCCTGTCACCCCAGGGCAGAGGTCAGTGCCTGGCCCTCCCCTTCCCCTCACAGGGAAGCAGGTAGTCCTTCAGTGGACTGGGCTTGGATAACACGCTCAGGATTTCTATTTCAGTGAAGCTGGTATTGTAGATATGACTTTCACTTGGTGGGGATGGTCCCTTGTCAAAACCCCCAGCATTTTCAGTATTTCCATTACACCAAGTTTCTAAAGCAAAAGCATTTAGCATTCACATAGGCCTCATAATTGATCCTGTTAGAGAAACCTACTACTGGCACAACATGGAAAGTAGTTAGTCTTCATCTCTCCCATATTAGGACTTACAGTAATGTACTTTGCTAAAGAAAAAAAGATACATGAATCCTTTTCAATGATCCATTAATCTGTCTGTAATCTAGAAAAGGAACTAAATAACTGAAAAAGAGTCAAAATAAAGATGTTTCAATAAAAGTAATTTTGTTATCTCCAGCACATTCCCCCATACCAAAGTTCTGGATAATACTGAGTGAGTGAAAGAGGTGAGTGTAAGATTGCCTATTAGAGCAGAATCTTTCTCCCATTTCTACCACAAACTACTTGACTGTATAGCCACTAATGAAATTACTTTGAAAACAATCTGCAACAGTTTAAAAGAAGCTCTCTGTGTGATGAATATATATTATCAATCTCTACTGCAGTACTGCAGCTAATAAAGAAGTTAATTTATTGTAATTTTTATTATACTTTTAACTAATGTCCTATTTTTCTGAACTCGGGTATCATGTCTGGATAGTCATCACAATATTGGCAGTGTTGCTGTTGACAAGATGCTTTCTATTGTCTCAGTGACAAATCTCCTGCAGCATGGCAGGTGGGGGCAGAACTTAAGAGAAAATTCTGCCCTTAGTACACTCACTACAATTTATTTTTTTGCTATGCCTTATTCTTAAAATACAGCTCCCTCATTCCTATTGTTTCCTGCAGAAAAAAAAACCCAACCAAACAAACTTACATAAAACATGTAATACCTTTTTAAGGGGGAAAAAAACGAAATTGACTGTAGTATGTTTCAATAACAATGGATTGTTTTAATATTCTAGTGTAGTCCCTTATGTGTCATAACTGTGTGTTTTCTTTTGCACAGTATGAGCTTACAGCATCATTACTCTGATTCCTGCTTGTCATTTGGAGGATGATTTTTCTCTTCTTATTTTCTGCCCCTATTCTGGAATTGGCTGCAAACTTGTTCATGTGTTTTCTTTTCTTTTTGTTTGTTTATTTTAGAAATGGCTCCTCAGAGCCATTTTTCATTTGGGACAGAGAATTAGAAAAGGTTCAACAGGCACGAAGGAATCATGGACTGCACTGCAAGATGCATGATTTCCAGTAGGGGGTTCTCCACTACTGTTGTAAAATAACATCTCAGGATTTGGGAATGATTATGAGGCAAAACTCATATGGCTTAAAGAACTTCTTTTTAATTAAATAAAATAAATATTTGGGGGGGGGAGAAGAGGAGGGAAATCCTATATCAATGCTAATGAGCCTCTAAACAGACAGCAACTAAACCCCCCCTACAAAGATCTCTATTATAAGCACTTCCCCCAGCAACATGCTAATGAGTGCATCCTCACAGAAACTGAATGGATTATCTTTGAGATAGCCCCATTTAGTTAGGATTGAAAGCCATGTCAGAGACATAATTATATTTTTCTTACAAAACTTTTGGCTGTATCTTGTTAATTTCGCCTTATCATTCTAAAGTGAAAGAAAGCAAACAAAATACAGGCATGTAAGGGCTGGGGGCAAGAAGAAGTGGAGGATTAATGTTTTATTGAGACAAAGGAGATGTGAGAAGCATCTGGGAAGAGACATTTTGAAACCCCCTAAAACAGATATACAGTAAAACAGTAATTAATTAAAACAGTAATTAATTGAGCATTTGACTCAAGCAGTAGTTGTCCACTTTTTCCCTGATTTTATGACAAAGAGGTTTTTGCTGCAAAATTTAAACTGTCCAAAAATGACCAGCCTGTCATAATATGGTTACACCCTGACTACCAAGCTACTATACTAAATGTATTTTTTCTTTCTTTGTTATGTTTGCATAACTTTAGATTGGAAAGATCTTTGAAGGCAAAGAGTTTCAAGTTGATTTGTCTAGGCAGATGAAGTGTCCACTTATCCCTATAAGGTCTGATAACAATCTAAGCAGATGTAAGGGGAGAGACAGGAATTTAAGACCACAAAGGCAAGCTTTAGGCTTGTCAAGATTCACCAATTTAATACTAGTGAAGAAACTAGCACAAAAAGGAAACAATTTTTGATGATCCACTCAAGCAAAACAGTCATCAGAAACAATAAAGGAAAGAGGAATAATTGGAAAGTAGTTATTTACTAACTTAGTCAGAGACCAGGAAATATCTCAGATGGAGAATGGATGGGATCCCCATTGTAAACATTTTCCACATCCTTAAGGGTGCAGAAAGTAATCCTCTTGGTACTGCCATTACCTCACCCATCTGTAACATTTGCTGTTGTGTGCACTCCAGGTATTACATTCTAGTAAAATATTAGTGACTGGAGTCAGACCAAGGGATAAAGTGATGGATGGACCCACAAGACATAACCATGTTTGTTTTATTAAATGCACTTATTTAATACAACCAGCACACACTGGGATCACCAATGCTGCCCTGCCTAGAATCCCTAAGACCATATTTTTCTCATTGTCCTCTTTGAAGTCAAACTCCACTGAAATCTATTTTTAAAACTATTTTAAAGAGGTCCATATAGTGCAGAAGTTGGCAAGGTTATGAGTATTATTTCACTCTTTAGAAATTAAATAAAATTTTACAAGTACCATACAAATATGGGATTTAATCCGTATGTCTGTCTATGTTGTTTAATTCAACATTATATTTGATACATTGTACTCTTAATTACATAGTCTAATCTTTTTTTTTCCTATTTGTACTCCATTCTCATCTTCAATTCATTCCTTGGCCACCAAAGATAATCCAAGAAGAAACAAAATATTTCTGTTGCTCTGAAATTACATATTTGACTTAACCAGGTGTATCTGCAGGTTCTTCAGAAAAGTGAGTAAGAACAACCTTTAATTCACAATATCGTGGGTGGTTGTTTTATACAATGATATTGCCTAGCTACTTCCACATTTTTTCGATTTCTGGAGTCATAACATAAATATGTGCTACACTGAACAAATAAGTAAATTAAAAAGTGAGCAGGAAAAAGATAAAATTATGATACAGCTTAAGAATACCACATAAATTTTTAGCTCTGATTTGATTCAAAGAAGAAGAATAGGAAAGAAGTGACCCCACCACACACAGAGAAATGCTCAGAACCAAGAATTTTCATTTGCAAATTCTAAGAGGAAAAGGTTGTTGATTTTTACTATTCTTTTTGCTTTGCAGCTGGCAATCTGCAATGTACCTGATATCAGTCACTCCTGTATATTCATAAGTGCTTTCCCTACACTGTATGGCTTCAGTTATGTTGAAGACTCACCAGCATTAAAATAGTTAGTCTATAAATGCTACACTGAATTCTTCGAAGCCACCTAATATTTTTATCATATGTGTTTATATTTCTTTAAATGGGAAGAAATCTGCTGAAGTTGTGGGACATTTTACAGCCACTAAGCAGTTTACAAGTGAACATCCAATCCACAAAAAGAAAAAAAATCCTAAAAATTATGTGGCCTTTTGTTCATAATGAATTGTGCTGACTTCTAAAAAAAAAAGCTTTTATAAGGAGTTCCACTGTAGCTACACAGAGTTGATTCATTTTATGATGTTCTGCATTTTATCCTATGGCAATAATGCTCTTAAAAAACATACTTGCCTTTGTGCTACTGGTTTTGCAAGTATAGAAACAACCAAGTATGATGGCCCTGCATGTCCAATGACTATATACACATATGCCTATGTATATGCAAGGATTTAAACTAGAGTAATTTTGAAAGATTTTAAATAGCTTTCTAATCTAAAT